CTAAATGATAGCACCACTTAATTGTATTTCTTTCCTATGGAATCTTCCAGTTAACTTCCACCATAAATATCGAACCAGAATGATACACTTCAATGTTACTAATCCTATTTCGTTTGATTTACTCGTGATTTTTTGAGTTGGTCTTTTCAATACAACAGAAGCCGTTTGAATTCTTGTGACTATGACAAACTTCTGTTTTCCATAGAAATTCGTACAACCTCTTTTTATACTGCTGTTAATCGCTTATTTAAGGGAACATAATAGCAGTAAGTAATGGTATTCTAACAAGACAGGTTTGAACTAAGTTTAGGTGGTGTGCTACAATAAAGGATTGTAAATAGAGCGAAAACACAATAATAATAACAATAATAATAATAATAGTGTATTATTATATTTGTAATTCTCCGTTGTTATACTGGATCGACTTCTGTTGGCATATGGACGCCTATGCGGATGCCTCGATATTTCCTGAATATTAATTATTATACCTTAATTAGTTGTGGGCAACAGAAGAATCCAGGATGTGCGTTTTGTCCTAATTGGGACTCGTTATTTGGATGTACCTGCACCCCAGTGCGTAGTGCTGTTCCCATTGAGACCCGAACCTCGTGCATCAGTGGCCTAGTGGATAACGCCTTGGTGTTTGAAACGATGAGCACGAGGTTCAAGTGTCGATGGGAACAGTACCATTCACTGGGGTGCAAGTACATCCAGCTGATGAGTCCAAAATAGGACGAAACGCACATCCTGGATTTCTCTGCTAGCCCCAACCACTTAAATAATAACATTAATGGAAGTGTAAAACCAAGTAAATTTAAAATAAAATAAAATCGGAGACATCTGAACCAACTTAACGTGAGAATAATCGGTGTTTTCAAGATATTCAGAACCGTGTTGTTAACCGCGTTAGAACCATAGTAACGGAAGACATATAGCAAATTGTTTTTATCTGGCTTCAAATTATGAACTTCCAAAGATAACAGTAGATGGAGAAGTAAATGTTCAGGAAGGCTTGGTCTGGTTTTGTAAATAACATCGAATGAGGTATTCGAAGCTGAATGTCCCGTATCGACTACATGTTGCAAACTAGATTAGTTGATTGGTCTTCTTTGCCCTTAACTGAGCCATACGGGAAGATGTTTTCGAATGTGATGAAGGATAGACCCAGGCAAACTGCACATTTACCTAGCTCCAAGCAACCGGGTGAATTAATAAACGCTCACTGAACTGGTCCGTTTTGGCAAGTTATAAGCTTTAGTCACGATTCGGTCGAACGCTGTCTTAAGGTTTTTCATACGGAATGAAATACGTGTTGGTATGAATTTCAGCTTGCAGATAGATTTTGTTTATGGATCTACATCAATCTAAAGACTAATGCTAAGTATTTAGGTTTAGACAGCTACACCGATTCGTATACATAACCCAGTCCTACAGGATATCTGTCGTAGGATGAATAACTTAGTGATTAAGGTCTATGATTTCAACACTGAGCGATACACGTACAAATCAAGTAGAAAGTGCCAGTTTTTTCATGATCGCGGATACGTTTCACTGATATATCCTAGTAGGCACGAAACCTAGGCCTATGTCTTTTTCACGACAAAATGCTATCATTTAACAAAAATTCTTCCTTTCTAATTATATTATGCAACTATTACCGATAACTGACCATTTGGCAAAACCATTTCTTCTTTTCATTTACTTGTTACTCAAATCGCCATTTATGTAACAGTTTGCTTTTAACTTCCTCAGTTCAACTATGTAATTGTTTTAATTTGTAACTGTTTTTATTTTTTGATTAATTTACAGCTCCTTGACACCTTAAAACTGATTAATTCATATACATTTGCATAATGCGATCATAAAAAGGACGGAGTTTATCTGAGAAATGTGATGTATCTGCGCAACATATTTTGAACAATTTGGTCACACATTTACTTGTTTATGTATTTTATATGAAAAGTGAAAGCATAGTAAATCTAATTTTCCTGTCCCTCCATGAAAAACTTCCATGTTAACGTTTGATCCCCAGATTGAAAAAATTGAATATTTACTATTCTCAGTAACAAAATCAGGTTCATAGATGGGTGTCCATCTGAAAATATTTAAAAGATAACTGACTTTTGAACCTAGTGAAACTCCTTAATATGAAATTTATTCACGAAAAGGGTTTAAGTCATTAAGACCAATGAAATGGGAAGTTGCTAGTTCGTTCATGTAAATGATAATGAAGGGGATATACACATTCGATGTAGCATCTCTCGCAGTTATTGCTGTTTATTTTGTAGGTTACTTTGAGTTTGCGTTTTTTCGTCGCCTCCCTTTGCCTGCATTATGAAGAAAGAAAAGATTTTGTCGTGTGATCTACAGGGACTTCCAAGTTTCATTATTCTAATTTCAGTCTAAATGTAAGATAGGATATTCTGTTTGTTGGTTTTTACTGGTGACTTTTTCGTTGATGATGTATTTGACAGACATCTCCTGACAAAGCTGTGCAGGAAGTGCAAAGCCATCGAATCATCCTCTTTCTCCTCATCTACACCATTTCAATAATCTCATTGCATCTCTGCCATTACCGTGATCTGAGTAATGCTGTTTCTTAACACTCTTGCGAAGATTTCTTTATGACAGTCAACCCCAGATAAAACAACCAACTGAGTGATTATTCAGTTGTAATCAGCATTATTCTTGGTCAAGTAAAGACTACTGAGGACGAATAGCATTATTTGTTGGGATTCTACACTGAGTAGTGATAAAATGTTAATCTTTACTTTCAACGCGGTTCATCTGGACAGTATCTACACTTTACATTGGCTAGTTGGAAATTTCAAATAGCATAGTTCACAATGAATCCCATTGGCGCAGATGCATCCACGCATTGTCTTCATACTAAGCGTTATACCCAATTTCTTTGTTTGACCTTACCTTTTCTTCAGTGACTTTTTACGATTTTTGACTACACACTTTATTTCTCTACCTTTCATCATGTCGTCTTGTGTCCTATTGTGAGGTGTGACAAATTGGATCGTTATGCAGTATTACTAAGTCCTATGTTGACACTGACCGACTGCATTTTACATTCACGATGCATAGTCTTCCACTTTGTCTTTCTTCGCCTGTTTTCTACATTTCTTATCGACGTTTATTCTTCCAAAGCCCTACATACTACTTATATATGAGTAGAATACACTGCAGTAGTTCCCTACATATTACAATAAAGAATAATACTGGGGTGAAATAGTGATCGGATGTTTTCTGTCCTTTTTGTAACTTGTCAGTTAGGGATCAAAGCATTCCTGTCAACTTATTAGAGACACCACATGGTTTATTGTAAAGCACTTAATCCCGATAATAGCTAAACGTAGTAGGCATTCACTACAATGATTTCTTCAGATGCTAATGAAACTATTGCTGAAAACATTTTAGTTTGAAATAAAATTTCAAGTTGTAGACAAGATGTGATAAATAAATTTTAAGGCACTGTTATCCCATTGCGCCTAGTGTCGTCCATACTTCACGAGTTCATCTTTGACATAAAAGAGAAAACATCACGATTCGCTTGAATAAGCCGATTCTGTGACTTTAAATTTGCAAACACTTTTATTTAATACTTGCCTTTTTGTAATTATCTGACCTTTTAAAAGTCAGTGAGTTAGATAATAGGTAGGTAATTTATAATGGAAGTATATATGTAAAATACCAGTAAAGTGGAAAAGCGTATTTCCGACATCACACAATCTTAACGAAGCTGCTTCAGAGAGTAAAATCTATGCAAATTATTATGGCATTTTTTTGATATAAATTTAACAAACCTCGACTACATTATTCATAAGTTCAAACACAATGAGATCAATATCACTAATTACCAAATGATAAACTTGGGGGAAGAGGGAGGGAGGGGGGTTCGACGTGAATTGAGTTGAATTAAGCTGCAGAATGAATTGAAAAATTTAGATAAGCAATTAGCAATAGCTATACATGCAATCGAAAGTGGACACACTTTGAGAATGTAGACATTAGCAAAAGGTTTCCATTCAAGTAAATAACTTCCGATGTCCTGCATATTTTAACAACATCAAATGCTATGAACAGAAAGGACGGAATAGACTTGGCACACATTAATCCGACAAAATCATTAATGATGACCTTTTCTAATTGAAGCTTCGATAACAACTACTGTAGGTTCATAAATAAAAATACAAGAAAGAACATGCATTCTACAACATACACAAACTTTGAATATCCTGCATTCTCGTCGACAAATGATAATAACAAGTGTGAACTTGTAATGACTAATCTTAATTACTCAGGCTGCATAGAAAACCGCCAAACCAAAGAAATACATTCACTAAATATTTGACTCTATATTTCGACGCCAATATTCTTCTGAGAAAGCTGTGGCTTACACGGCGAAACGTTCAGAAATATCTTTTGATTTTCTAAACACTCTGGAATTATTTTGAAACATATTCTTATAATGATAGAGGAAGACTCGGCGCTCAGCTTCTTACAGAATATTTGTAACAATCATGGTCTGGTTGTTTATAGTTCTTCAGTTTCATTTTCGCCAGAAAGTAGCATTGTAACGAAAAATGACCTTTTATGACTTGTTTAACACTACTGAACTGATGACTACAAATATAACATCTGAATGTAACCGTGCTTGCTTTCGCTCTCCCACGCTTAAGGATCACCAACTGAGTTCAGCGTAAGATGAGATACTCCTGATGCCTCTACTAGCAGTTTCGTTAAATATATATCCAGTACGTTTATACGACTGAATAAGATGTAGACAATACAATTAATTACTAACATCATTTGGGTTACAAAACGAGGTTATTAGTTTGCAGTTATTTGACGATTACTTTTCAATTGTGAGGCATGTGACTATATATATATATATATATATATATATATATATATATATATATATATATATATATATATATATATATATCCTAATCTTTTCGAATATTAAAATCCTGTTTTATTCTAAATAGGTGCACCGTACAGTGAACATAGTAGTTTCCTGGAACTGAAAGAATTCATCACACGTCTTCGTCCTCTACGTGTACAACCTACAGTTTTCGGTAAATCAGTCAATTCAATGAAAGATATAGTGAATAGCTGGTTGAAATAATGGAACAAAAGTTGCTATCTTAAAATTTCTTGACCTGATTTCATCAACTAACTTGTAAAGATTGTATTTTTTTTAAATCGTGAATAAAAACTTTTTATGTGGCGAATGTTTTTGAGCTAGATAGGATATATTAGGCATGATTTTAAAGCTTTATTGATGATCCTGGTGTAAACTGCTTGGTGTGGTAACTCAACTACCCTGAAGTGTGAGTTACTAGTTAGTCAGCCACTGTCTTACCTACTTTTGGTTGATTTGGTCAAGAGAACTGTGTCGAACGGTATTTTATTAAATGAGAAGTTTGTACCTCTAAGTAAACAGTTGGACAGGAAGCTAAAGCTGATAATCAAACTCCTGGTAGAGAACGAGATCTTTATGCTAGAGGTTACGGTTTCTAGATAAAACTCTAGGTTTCTTCCCTTCCTGAAGCGTCATCGATTCACATGTTTTTTCTGTCACTTCGTTTAAGTTTTCGCTTCGTACATTGTTACTTATATGAGATGACAAATAACTGATCGAATTGTGAGAACAGTTTTCACTAGCAAAATGTTATGTTAGATAGTCGTATTCGTACAAACTGATAATTTCTCATAACTGCTTGTCTTGTACCAGATAATAGTATCACCAATTAGCAGGTTTCACGTGCAACACGTATGATTTAGAGATAAACTACCTGAGTGTTACAGTGACTGACATTTATTGTAGTGAAAAGCATTCACATTTCTACTTCTAAACGGTAGGTCACGAAACAGATATACTAAATGTAGGATAACTAGTTTGCAACAAATACTTGCTTTATTAGATAGGCATTTAGGATGTGTATGCAAGAGAAAACAGACTTCATTGTAACCCGACAGGTTAACGTACGTTATTAGTTTACCAAGATTTCAAAAAAGAAAAATATGAGAGTCTGGACTAGAAGTGCAAGGTAAATCCATGTTTCTGACTTACTTTTTAAAAACGTGTACCTAGAACCTTAACATCACACTGATGAGAAACACAGAAGGATGACAAATTTACTTGAATATATTTTAAACTTACACTATATTTCTTAATAAGTCCCATTTATAGCTATCATAACTCTAACAATTTACAGGTAGTATTAACACATTTTTGCCACAAATCTTGCTATTAAACTTAAGGTCTAATCACATTATTACTTCATACAACCTGAGCAAATAATCTAGGATGCAATGGATAGCTCACATTTTATTGCAATATCAACAAGACCAGGAAACAAGGTTATGATCACTCAAAAAACTCCTCTTTTTAAAATATCCATGAAATACTATTACTGTAAATCACAGATGGATTAGCTGGTTTATTTAACACACTATTTGTTTACCACTAATTTGCGTTAACCTAGTAAAATTTTGAGTCAATACGATTTAATGTACAGTAAATGCTGAGTATTATAATAGTGGATTCTTAAATAGATTGTTGCCCTTATCGAACACATTAACCTTTGCCATATAATATATGATTTATTCATCAAAATCGTGTTACAACCAGTATGCATCAAGAAAATGCAAGCGCTAATTAGCTGTTAATGCTACTTCAAGTTGAGCAGATATTTCGTGCTGACTGAATTCAAGCTTACTCTTTACATATGAGACACATAAATGTCGTCTTTCAAAAGCTTTGGTGTGCTAACCACTATCAAATGTAAAGAAAACCCGTCACAAATAATCCCGACACTAAACATCTTTGACGTTAAAAGTGGTATATCTCTTAAAATTTCATTTATTCAACAAATAGCATAAATTTTCTTGATTGCTTTTAGTTAGGATAATTATACTAAAATCATCATAGAATTTGAAAGACAAAAATCATTTAGAAAAAAATTCAACACTTGAAATGTACAGGATGGATGCACAATCTATGTATCAGCAGTTTGAAAGACATCACACACATTCTACTCGAATATTAAAGGCAGTGAAATATAGGGAACAGTTTTACTCTTCATTGCGCTGGATATTATGAAAATACATAAAAAACAAATTAGATAAAGTCAAATGCATACCATGAAAAAAAATATAGTGCTGTCTATTGAATATCTCAGAGATCTATCGTATCGAGGCTGATACATGCCGGATTGTCTGTCGTAAGGAGCAGAGGGGTGATAAGAAATCAGCTGCAAAATTAAATATTTGCATTCAATGGAATACCGGGTCAGCTGTCAAACGGGGAAAACCCAGCAGAAAGTATATCTGTAAGTGATACATCGCGAGATTATTATCACAGAGAACTAGATGGATTGCGATGAGTCTGATGCTTTGGTAATAGATAATTCTTGAAGAGACTGGTGAATATTTCGATCTTGGGTAGGTGAATCGGTTCGGATTGACGGCATACTGTTTTGGTTTCCAGTTATACATGTATGATTTGAAAGATCTGTAAAAATACATGGCCTATTTTCATCAAAACCATCATCATTATCATCATAGTCATGGTAGGAGAAACATTTACTAGACTGACAGACATAAGCACCAGAAGATATCAGTTCAGCTTCTATCGCAAGACGGCGTTCACGTTCTTCGGTAAGCATTTGACGAACTCGACCAAGCTGGGACGTTAACACGTCCACCTGAGAAATTTTAATAATCGAAAATAAGAACAAGAAAAGTGATATATCCTTTGTAACCGATCAACCATGTGCTGGTCCATGTATTATGCAACGAGCTACACCTATTGTTTGAAGGCTAATGGTAGGAACTCGTTGCGTAAACCTTGCAGCGTTGGGGCCCACTGGCTGACATATGAAGGTCTACACAGGGATTTACTAACTCACTTTGTTTGACAGATCATCAGTCGTTTGGTATTATGCACTGTCGGAGGAAGATATGTCGATTTGCTTCAAAGTGAACGAGATGAAATGTTTATACCAAAAGCATAAAAATCCGTCACCTTTTCAGGAGGAATATATTATTAGCGAAAACACAAAATGATAACGAACTATGTAACAGTCGATCATGACTACTTATCTACATATACGTTTAGAAGAACTAATCGAATTTCCACCGATGTGTAAAAAATTAATATGAGAGTAAAACATGGGTACCGTGGTAGAATGTAATGCCATTTTAGTTTATTTATTAGATTTATCACATAATGGGACAGTATTGTTTACTGGATTACGTTTTGGACAAAATGTATTGTCCATGGTCATATCACAACTTTGAGACATCCTTTATGTAGTCCTAATTTCCCCACCTCCTTTATGACATGACTACTGAGATTTCCCATATATCCAGAACAGGCACTGAGCCATTTCTGTTACAATCATTGGGCGTTGATTCGATAAACAACGATCCAGTCATCCATCTCTCCCTCGACCTTGTTATGTTAGTTTTAAGGTTTTTTACCCTGTCTCATTCTATTGTGTGCAATCACATGCATAGCTTTGCATAACTTTGCAATCGTTGCAAGAGTTTTGGTAAACTAAATTATTCCGTTTAGTCGGATCAGTAGGATCTTTTAACCTACAAAGCTTACTTCTAAGTGAATTTGTAGGCTTAAATGCCACTCTAATCCCAGCCATATTGAGAATCCTAAGTAATATCTCTAATGTTTCGATCATAGTTTATGAACATCTTGATTCCTTGATGTTTTTCCCTTACGTATAGAATGCAAAATGAATGCGAGAAATATCTGTATACCGCTCGTATTTATTAAAACTGACAAATATGCTTTAATTATCTCACTAGACACAATTGGTTACGACCAGTATGACGTCAATGAGAAATAACAACGAACTTAGACCAGCAAGAAATGGCTAACTTACCAACTTTGAGGTAACAGTTGAATAAGCTAAATAGCAGATACATGAAATATCTGCCGGCTTCATCGCTGGGGTAATACAATAAGCAGAAATTGAAGCCACTACAGTGGTTTTGTTAACTTCTGTAGTTTAAATAGTTGTCTATCAGGTCAGCTAATAACTTCCATACAAAACTATATCTAATGATAAGTCCTCAGTTCGTAATGTTTTTCCGTAATAAGGCATAGTTGTATTAAACCAACAGTTCTTGATGCATATTTTTCACAGAGAAGTTGAGTGGCTCCAGGTTTTACTATAAGTTGGAGTTGATGAAGGCAGCGCTGACGCAAATTTTCCGTTTCAGTTCAAAAAGTATTAAAGGCTGAAGTGACTGCACTTTCATGACTATATTTCGTTTTCTGTTTTCGGTCGTTCCTACCGCCCTGACCTAATTCATTTCCTAAATGTACCTTGATACTGTAGTATCAAGTTGTTTGAGACATTTTTGCATAACAAGCGCTTCAATCAATGTACTAGTTATTATGGTATAAAAGTGAATAAGTATAAAAAATATCTAATTTTAAATCGAGTGTTAAATGTTAAGAGTTAATCAACAGGAAGCCCAAGATCTAGGTTTCATGCTAGTTGGTAATCATTGAATGAGCAAGATGTATCCGCATTCATAAGAGAACTGATGCTCTCTTGATGATAGTGATAAGCAGTAGTTAGGTTATACCGCAGTTTTCTTGAAAATGAGGTAGGAAGGACAAAACTCACTAGTTTACGAAGCTCTTCAATGCATGTGACCAATTCTTCATGTGTTTGAAATTCAGTTTTGGGTAGTTTGACTGCATTGACTTTTTCTTTTTCCTCGGATGTTCGATTTGAAGATAATGATAAGGGATCTGATAATTTCCTACTAGCAGGTGGTTGAACTTTAGCTGTTGGTTTTAAAATGGTATTTTGTTCACGAGATAATATCGCTGTCTTTTTCGATACTGCCTCACTTAAGCTAAGTTTTAGAGCTGATAACTGCAAATCGATGACTACAAAGTCATGATCTTCTTCTTCAACTTCTTCTCGAGCTAATTCCATGAAAGCTAGAGAGAAAAAAGGTATTAAAAGTGATAATGATTAGAAAAAATAATCTTTTTAATTATCAACGTGATTTTTCGTACAAAAAACTTTAAAACAGCCGCCTTTAGTAAATGCGGCAGTCTGAGTTGTCATGCTTTTCGAAATTTATCATAACACGCAGATACACAGAAATGTAGAACCTACCACAAGTGCGTGGGTTCAAGTCACCCCAGTTCACTGCAGTATGAAAAGGAAAAGTGGCCATTAAATCCAGGATCATAATACTCGTCATCATTCTTTCAAGTGGAAGCCTATTGCGAAATGACTATTACTACTTCATGAAGAGTTGGTATAAATTTGACTGTAGCCCTTGGCCCAAATAACTTTCAAACAATATTTCTAGGTCAAATTTAAGATTAATGTATATAAATACAAGCAAAGTAATTTACAGTAGTCATATTCCTCGAGCTATCTGTTATGCACAAGTCATTGGGGTACACAATGAAATGGCGTGCTTTTATGGGCTAAAATACTACCATGTCTACTGACTGTTTACTGTTTTCCATATGTTTATTGTTATGAATCGATAGATAATTAAATGTCTAACTACTGCGACACCTATTTCTTCTCGATATTCAGATAATTTTCCCACTCACGAAAAATGTGAGATAGAGTTAACCGTTGTGTTGAGAAATTTTCAGTAGTATTTTGTGCTTTAACCTGTATATACTTTACTGAAAGTAATATGGAATGTTTCACAGGGATCCACTTTTGTCTACAACGTATTTTTTTCACAGTCGATTGGTAAATCGTACGCTTATAAATATAAGGTACTTGTTACTTGATATGAAAAAAGCACATTCCCAAAATATTCTTTTTCCTAATAAACACATGGTTATTAGTGTTTTGTATGTGCTACAAAGATAAGTGTTTTCTCCTATTGGCACTGCCTTCTATGAAATGTCTTTGGCTTTAAAATTTCGAGGTCTGCTTATAAATGAGCGAGCATCTGCATACTGTTATGTTAAGCTGTAGTGTAGTGCTAAAATATCTGTAATCATAATTTCCAATAACTTGGAGCAAGAAACTTCATAAAATTTTCTTTATCAGTTGATTTAAAAATGAGAGGGCATATAAGTACACTGTCTTGACCATAAAATAAAATTGTTAGTAGAGAAACAAATTCAAAACCAATTAGTTCCCTGAATAAACTTCGATAAAACAATAACATGTAAATTGTCTAAATCGTCTAATTTAATTGCACAATACACTTCAAACAATGTGATCACACATGCACTCGTTATAAGTATTTATGTGAAAGGTTATAACGGTTGAGTTAGTGATGGTAACACTTACACAAATTTTCCGTTTTAATCCACAAACATTATAAGCTAAATTGATTTCACTTACAAAACTATCGTTGGCTTTCTATTTCTAGTCGTTCCTACCACTGACTTAATTTATTTCCTAAATGCACCTTAGGACTAACATTTATATGCCTCATACTTTATACTATAACGTCAAGTTACTTGAGATATTTTTGCATAACAGGCATAACCCGTGACCCACTGGTTAAAAGTCATCTCCCTAAATCAACGACTCATAGCTCCACTGCCTGGCTTAACCCCAATGTTACTCATATGATGATTCCACTGCACACGAACAGTGCTAGGAAACCAATTATAGTCAGAAAATTTTAACCTCTTGATATTTTCAACTTTCAATGGCCATGTCTCATAGCCGTGTTATGAGACGGAGTGGACTTGATGTGCAGTGCAGTTTCCGACTGGTAAATAGTCAATTGTTTCGCCAGCGCTGCCTAGTTCTACTTTATACTTACGACACAAGGATTCAGTATTATTTACTGACGTTTCGAACAAAATTTATTGCTCATAACCATATGACGGTAATCACACAACTTTCTGGTTAAGTTGTTATAGTTGTATTGTTTTATTTTTAATTGGTAGTGAAATTTCCCCCATATACCGAATCGGTGTTGCGTCATTTTTGCTATACGTATCAATCTCGTAAACGAAGCTTCAGTTTTAAACTTCCACCTACTCTATCCCATACTGCTGATCGTGTGACATCAAAAATAATAGAACTGTAAAAACTAGATCAGAGATTTGTGTGATCACCTTGATATGACTATAAGCAACAAATTTTGCTCGAAACGTCATGAGTAAGTAACACTGTTTTAATGAATGATTCATGAAAAAAGAACTATGACAGAATTGCACTCCATCGCAGTGCTTAAATTTTACTCTCAGTTTAGTGCCACCTTGGCTTGTAGTATTCGAGCTGAAACTCCGACAGCAAAACAATACGAGGCGACTGCACAGTGAATTAATGATGCAGTCAACGCATCGCACCAACTCACTCCTTATGCCTAAATCAGGCATTCCTGGAGGACACCACTCATTGTCATCAATCCAAATGACAACTCTCAATAAATCCTTGTACCCCTGCATGAGTTTAAGTAGAGAGCTGAGATTAGTGTCACACAGCTATTTAGTGTTCCCTTCACAATCAGACACTGCTAAAACACCCCATGGTAGATGGAGTCAAATGCCGTCTTCAGGTCAAGAAATATAGAAAGTGTCGGCCGCCAGTAAGTATGCCTGTGTTCCATATTCCGTCAAAGAGTGAAACTCTGATTGGTGCAATTTCGTCCAGGTCTGAAGCCTGCCTATTTTCCTCAGATTTACTATTTTCGAGCTCTTGTTATGCATCAGATAACTATGGACCTAAGTATCTTGTACACGATGTTAGTCAGACTGATTCTCCATCCTTTGAAACTTCAGGCGGCAAATTGTCAGGTCCTGAAGCTTTGGATCAATTCAAGTTTGAAACGCCCTTCCCAACTTCGAAGAGAGTTGGAGGACCGACACCTACGTCGCATTCAGATTTGAGCTGAATGCTGGCCAACTGAAGTCTTGGTGTGGGCTAGCTGAACTATGCTTCAAAGTGTTCCGCTTAACATTCTGATCACCTGTTCTGAGAGGTTACCATGGTACCATGCTTTTCGGTGTTGATTTATTCTTACCGGTATCTTCAATAAGTCCAAGTAATTGCCGAGCATTGCTAATGCTGATGCCTTTTCCATTTCTTTTGCTAACATCAAAATGGTTGTTCTCATATACTTTAGTGAGAACCAAACGTAGGGACAAAGCCCCAGTTCTCATATCAGATAAAGATTCAGAAGAGTTATCTGAGTCCAGTTGGTTCAAATCTGTCACTTCGATATTTTAGTGGAGTCTTCTTAGCAGACGGATATTACTACTCTGACGAGCATTACCATAAATACTCCACTGATGAGCACAGTGCACACTACAAGCTGAGCAACCTTAAGTCTGGGAAATCCCAGGTCCTGATGAAGCGCACCAGCAGTTATTATCCTTTTTGGCAGACACTGCTAGATTGCTTGCTGAAGTGTTCAGTATTTTCCAATGTCAGACTCGACTTCCGAGACACTGGAAATATACAATAGTAAGCCCAGTACTTGAGGCAGGTAATGGGCAGTTGGTATGCAACTACCGTCCTGTTAACTTAACTAGTAAGGTCACTAAAGTATTCGAGCTTACCAAGAATAGAGTACTCAGCGATGTCAAAAACTATAGTCTTCTCTCACCTCTACATGGCTTTATTACTGGTAACCTTCGCTGAACTGACCCCCTGATAGCAATAGAGAAATTGATAGCTTATGACAATAAGCTGGTCGCATATGTTGTGTGCAGTGACTCTAGTAAGGCTATCGATAAGAAATCGCATGCAGGACTAATGAAGGAGCTCTCTAATTTTGGGGTTGATGTTTGCATTAAAGAATTTCCAAGCAAAAAGAAAAACGGTGAATGAAACACTTCTTATGTGAAAACCTGTGAGGAGTGGGAGTTCTTCAAGGAACAATCTCGGTTCCTGTACTCTTCTTGCTCCACATCAGTGAACATGATTAGGTCCTTAGTGAAATTATATCCCAATGATTTGAAAATATTGAAGTCTACCCCCAAGGAAGCCAACAAGCACGCATTGAAGGTGGAAATGAATGAATAGGCCGACTGGTCTGAGCATAAGTGTTTGGGAATTATTTCTAGCAAGTGTGAATTTATACATAACAACCGACAGCTGTAAGCATTATTGAATAAGTAAAACAGCATCACCTGAACAAGAAATTGAAAACTTGAGAGTGATAGTCAGCCATAACTAGAAGATATCCGCGAACAGCAATAAAGTCGTAAGATGGTTACAAGTATTTTGGTCTCTTCTCTTCTCAAAAGCTATGATAACATTTTTCGGATATTGCATCCTATATAATGCGATTCCACTTCAAATTTGCATTCAAAATGTCAGTCATTACCCTTGAATGATGCGAACACACAAGAAGGCGTTTAGAGACTCGGGAGTAAGTAGGTGACTGGTTCATGCAACGTCCCCATAGGGAACGTCTGGGTAGGTTAACTTTTCCGGACATCGTCGCATGACCAAAGGGAACCTGATATTAGCGATCCGTAAACTTAGCAACGTTCTTGGGGGTGATATCTTACTTGTTTTCTCTTAAGGATCATTTTCCAGAGCACCACAAGAAAACTCAAAACCCATGATCGAACCAACTTAGCGTGAACATGTGCTGATCACCGGGAGTCATCGATGACTGAATCAACTTAGCGTGAATCTGCGTTTCTCCCATCGTGTTGTCAACGACTGGAACTCCTTACCTCAGCAAGTAGTATCAGTACCTTCTGTCAACGCGTTCAAGAAGAAACTAGATCTCCACAGAGATATCTTCTGCAAGGATTAACACAAGCCAACTGGCCTTATAACTGAAAACTGACTGAAACTGCTACCCGAGGAAAGAGGTATCAAGTCAATGGTGAGTGCACTCAAAGAGAAATTAGATCTTTACACAAGAAACTACTGCAAGGATTACCATAGGACACATTGGCCTACTATCCTAAATACGATACATAATATTTATATGTATGTAGGTTATACATATACAGTCGTTATGAAGACCAATTTGTTGTCTGTTCTTTTGTATAAGCCGAAATCAGAAAAACTGGCATTGAAAGCAATACCATGTTTAAAATAATGCTTACCGATGGATTTTCGATAATAGCAGATTGCTCCCTCAACATTCCCGATTTTCATACACTGGTTTGCACGACGCTCATTGAAGTGAGCCTGATGAACACCAAAATAATTCAGATATTTCGTTCACAAGATATCAATATGATTTAGAATTCAACAACATTTACTAACGGTTTAACATACCGCACTCAGATTGCTATGCATTTCAACTAGCAACTCCATACGCATAGTTGAATAGCGCGCTTTAGTTATAGTGCTTTGGCCTTAAAAACTAAAACCTTTCTCACACATTGTGATTGGATAAGGAATTGACCTTGAGATTCACTCCCGGTTTCGATTGTCAGTTCTGAGATTTGTCCTGATTTATCATGAATGTTTTGTCGAAACAGTCTTCTCCATATGCCTTAAGCATCTTCTCTGTTTGTTGCCGCATGATAAGCATGAAATTGTTTGGAAGTAGTTCCTATTAGGTTGAATAAACAAATCTACATAATCCAGCCATTCAGTTGTTCACATCGGCAACACCTCGTTGGAGATAAATAATTCATTTCCACAAGATTGGTTTAGAGAATTGCACTGTGAAGGTCGTTGGCTTTGGAGTTTCTGTCCGATTAAACCTCAATTTCTCTGCTGAATGGTTGCTGTCGGCTGCTACTTAAGTTGAGTACGGACAACTTGGGTAATCTTCTTTTAAAACGTTAAAAACAAGAAAGAAAGCTACTCTGTCATAGTTAATTCGTTGTGTTGATGCACACCAGTTAAATAGGAACTATGGCCAATGAAATTGTTGGAGCCCAGTCATTAGATGATTATCACTTATCATTTGATTCGTTTCATTCAGGTGAAACTCCTAAAACAGCATCGGACGCTACCAAGTTCTTTCCAATTGATGCAAATGAAGTTCTAAATACTCCTACCGCTATATCAAAAACATCTGGTTCCGGAGGATTATTTTTTGCTGATGATTTTCACAAGCGCCTACATGTTCTCAATCCAAGTGAGGATCAAACGACGGAAACTGTCGGATTGGAACATTTGAATAAAATAAGTAAGTTGTTTACATAGGTGTCTAAGTATTTGTGCTTATGTTTAGACTTGTAACCGCATCAAATTTCGTCATGTTTTTGTATACAATCTCCACTTACATATTTCGAGCTCATTTTGACTGTATCAATCCACTTATTTCGTCTGGACCCGATTGTTTAGTACAGAAAACGTGGTTCGTGAACCGAACGAAATCTAGTGTCTTCATTTTATAGACGAGTGTGTATGTTACAATGATCCTAAAAGCTAAGACCGATACTAACCAAGTTCGTTGGATAAGGTTGGCGTGAAAAACAGTTACATGTATGGTATAAAAATCCTACGCTATGAAAGGACGTCCACGGCTGAGTCATACTACTGACCGAATGGGGAATGGGAGCAGTATACAGTCCATAATAATGCTGCCTATGAAAATAGTGAGAGTTAGAAAACGTTGGTCCCAAAAATGACACTTCTCCCTACCTTGAGGTATTCTGACCCTATCGATATGGGGTTTTCTTGTCAGATAAAACAATTCTCAGTCTGCACAGTTAGGGTGTACCAACACTGTAAATAGCCTAACTAACCATAAACTATTTCCACTCCTTTTTTTAAATTTTCAAATGCCAACACCAATCACCTTAAGTTTTTCCTATTTTTTACCCACGACCTTTGTAAATAACCTGGTTTACTGAAACAACATTGCTAATTTCATATTGGAGCTTACAACATCTGAACCCTATTTCCGAAACGGACAATAGCCGTCGTCTGCTAAGCATACTATCCTTGGGGGGTTGTATCAGCCAGAATGAGCTAGTTGTTGTTGAGTTCTCTGCTTGGACTCGAAAGGTGCATTCGATATGTGCCAACTGACGTCGTCTCTGGCTCCGGTAAGATATCTGACGAGTATACTGTGCCTCAGTGCTCTGTCTTATTACAGTTGAGGCGTTTTGTCAGCGTCTTCACCTAACAAGACTATTTCATCTGCGTATTCTAGGTATACCAAAAATTCTCCTGTGATTAGATCAATCCCTGCATAGTCAGATATCAAGAGGAGACCTCCATAAGAACGTGTATGATGAAATGGGATCAGAATGAAGTGAATGGTCATACTTGGCCGACGCCACTCGACGTACACAGCTTTCCCAACATCTCACCATAGTCTCTAACACATCCACAGTTGTTCGAGTAAAGACGATGTATTTACTCGGTACCCCTTTCAGTGAGAGACATTACCATAAGACTTCTGGGTCAACGGAATCGAATGGCGTCTTCAAGTCGGGGAATACAATTATTGTCGGGGTTTGGTAGTGGTTCCTGTGTCCCAGAATATGCCGGATTGTGAATATTTGGTCGACACATCTGCGGCCAGGTCTGAAACCTGGCTCGTTTTCTCGGGCTTGCCGTTCCCGAGGTCCACTCAGGCGTCTAGTCATTTTATAACCTAGAATCTTAGACATTATGTCCGTCAGTCTGATTTTTCTGTAGTCATCAAAAGAGGACTTTCGCCTTTCTTGAAGACTCGGATAATCAGTGATTAAAACCAGTCAGAGGGGGTCATATTTGACTACCATACTCTAGTTAATATTTCAGCTAACTTGACTAAAATCACTCTCCCACTGTCTTTATGTAACTCAGGAACTAGTTCGTTTGGTCCTGCTGCCTTTCCTCGTTCCAAGTTACATAACACCCGACTTCTGCAAGTGTTGGGGGACCTGTTTCAATGTTCGATTTAGGATCCGATCGGATAGCGGGAAATGCAGTAGTAGCTGGAGGTCACTTAAACTGTTCCTTAGTGTTCTGCCCATCGTTCCGGTCCTCCTGCGAATGAATCGCAGACCCATCCTCCTCTGTAATGGTCTCACTAATCGTTGAGCTTTTCACCTCAGTTTCCTTGATAATTCTGAGTAATTGTCTACTGTTACCTATCACCACTGCCTTTTGCAGCTTTTTAGCCTTCGCTGCCCACTCCTGTTCAGGGTCATTGCGTAGGATATTTTTCAGTTTACATTTGAGTTGCGTTCGATCTTCATTGTACTCAAAGCCTGCAGGGGTGCTTCGCATGCATGCATCCAGAAGCTACTGATAGCCACTTGCTCTTTTTAACCACTTTGAGAGTCGATTACCGTCTTCAATTCTGTTTTTACAGCAGACTGGTCCCAGGCTTTTTCTGGATAAGTGATAATGTTCAGCTCCGATAACTGCCTAGGCAGTCTCTCACTGGAAGCGGCCTTGGTGCTCTCATTGATGAGGTGGACTCATAACGGCCTTGTTGCTAAAGTTTTTCTACGTTCATTGGGATGAAGACATATACATCCTTGAACCAAACACCTGAAGGAGCGGCCCTCTCCAGGAATGACCGATAGCCATTTGGTTTGTCTGTGTCCATCGCTGATTTGAGTTCGGTGGGCACCACGTCAGAAAATGTCTTTCTTTATGTCTGAAGTTTGTGTTAGCTAGAAATAAATGGTTATCTGAGCATAGTTGTAGTAGGCGATCACCGTTTTCTGTTCGTCCACCTGGGATTACGTAAGTACCACCTAAGTGCTTTTCCGCCTGACTCAGCCTACCCACTTGTACATTGAAATCATCTGCAACAACAACCACGTCTGAACGCTTGGCTTTCAGAAGGAGAGTAAACAGTTTTCGGTAGAACTTATTCCTCACTTTATCCTAACTGCAGTCAGTGGGTGCGTAGCATTGCTCGCGTATGGTAAAATCATCATGTGAACAATGTTAAGCTTTAATGTAGTGTGCTTGGCAAGGAAGGCAAGTCAGTCAATGAGTTTGCTAAAGTTGACTACTGAGGTGGCTTGGAGATATGTTACACATGCTGACCCACTGATTAGTTGGACAGTGAATGTACAAAAGTACAACCACGTATGTTTGGACTTCAATCAAAGAAAATAACAAATAACATCTAAACATGTGTATCCTGGATTGGCAAATGACAAAACCAAGTTTTTACTTATGAAGGAGATAACTAGTTATTCACTTTATCATGGCAGATATTATCATGCTGATAAAGCCTAGGTTGATATTGAGTATGCTGTAGAAACAGCAGTAAAGACACTTTGTGTAACTTCATACAAACTGATTGATAGACAAGACTCATTCCAGCTTTCTGTGACCGAAATGGGCAGTGAAATCTGAGGAGTAAAACGTATAGGATGTATTTAGGTTGACCATGTGGTGCATACCAGTTAAGTTTATCTGTGTAGAGTTTATGACTGCTTTCACGTCTCTGAGCAATCATTGAGGAACGTTTTGTTTAATGGGCCCTCATCGTGCAAATCATCCTGGCCAATAGCTGCTACCTTGATGTAATGGTCTACCTCGCATATCACTATAACCCAACGAACTACGCCGGCTGGAACGCTTGTTCCATCGAGGTCCCACCCTGCCAGGAACGTCTGTAAGATAGTGGTAAGGTGAAAAGCAGTTGGCGTTGTAGTGTGGACTTGCTGGTTTAAACATCCAGATTTAGAGCAGAAAGTGCTCTTCTTGACTGGATACCATTCAACAACCCACTATTTGCTGTTTGACTGAATGGGTCTGTAAGAAATAGGGTAGTTCATGAAACTAGAGAAGCTGACCCAATCGGAAAGGCATCTTGAGGGTATTTGTGGAATCCCATAGCAACGAATCGACAACGGTGATCGCTTGTTGCAATTTTACTCCGACAATCACCTGTTTCTAGCTAGCACTTTAGGCATAAGGTGACACTGTCACATGATGTCCACCGACTTTAAATCGACGTCAGACACAAATAAATCATATTGCTATAAGCCGTCGTTGAAGAGGAGGATTGCCACTCTTTCTGAAGTCCTAGTTTCGACTTCAATCACACGTTTGTACAGGCTCATGTATGTCTAAGCCTTACCAACCGCAGGAAACAGGCGGTAGTGAAGCCTATCGGTGCCCGATTGGAAGATGAGGATGCCAGGTATGTATTTAGTGAGGAGTTATCTAAGGAATTGTGTGTACGTGACAGCAATGCTCATGCTGAAAAAGCCTGGCGTAATAGTAAGTCTGCTGTAGAAGCAGCGGTAAAGACAGTTGGTTACCTACACCTGAAGGTTAGCAAACTTCAGTGTATTTCCTCAAAGTCATCCGAACTGCTTGATGCCAGAAGACCGATTCTAGATGGCTGACTTTGACCACGATAACGAGCGAAGGCAAGTTAAGCGTAAGTTCACCAAAAGTCTTCTCGGTGGTCACGAGTAGTGGTGGGTGACGTAATCGAGAGAGATGTAAAAGGCATCAGGGTCGGAAAAAACCCGTCAACTATTTAGGCCTAGTCAGAATGCCGGCAAGAAGAAGACCATGGTGAGTGAAATCATCACCGAAAAGGGTGGAACGCTGACAATCTCCCAGGACAGGCCACTAGAACGTTGGGAAGAACACTTTGAGGCACATTTCAGGTGGCTCTGTGTAACGCTCCAGTTACCCAACATCTAGCCTGAACCTGATTGGGGCGTAGATATCAGTCCTCCAACTCTCCTTGAAGTTGAGAAAGCTTTATTGAACTTGAAACGATGCAAAGCAGCAGGATCTGACAGTTTACTACCTGACGTTTTCAAGGATGGAGGTAAGAAATTATTGATTTGATTGGCGAAGGTAATGCGTGGTGTATGGCAATCACAGTTAGTGCCATCAGACTGGTGTACTTCAATGATCATCGCAGGTTAGACGAGGAGGAGAAATCTTGTGACCACTATAGGGGAATTAGGTTGACCAATACCATATCCAAGATCCTAGGGGCCATAGTTACGCGACGCTCAACTGGAGCTTCAGATCAGCGAACTTGAGAAAACCAAGAAGGTTTCAGACCTGGATGCGGGTTCATCGATCATATTTTCACACAAGCATACTTACTTGCGGTCGACGCTTGCCACATTTCCTGACATTATCGACCATAAGGTATTGTGGCAGTGTCTGACAGTGTAGGGAGTATTGAGTAAGCATATGACGCTAATCAAAGCTCTCTACTCGAACTCACAGCCGTCTGGGCTTATTTACGGTATACATATATATATTACTTCGTTATAGACTTACTAGTGGATATAACCTTAGGTAAGTCCGACTTCACAGAGTTCTACGTACTCCCTGGAGGTCATTTGGTCTGCTTCGAATGTGCAGTCGATATTGTCCTGCTGGATGAAGACACCGACAAAATGCAGGTTATTCTGAACGCGTTGAGCAGAAATCTAAGTATGTTTGGCGTACGTTTCGCACTTGTCAAATGTAAGATGATACTCTAGGAGTGATCTACAACTGTTCTCAGTCTAACTATAGGGAGTGGATCGGTTGAATGTGTCAACCGCTTTGGTTACTTGGGGAGCTGCATCAGCCCGAACGGTTTTGTTGCTGATGAAGTCTCATCTCGTATACAGAAGGCCCGCATCATATGTGGTTCCGGCTGGCGAGAAACCCGACTACCTACCTATCAATGGACGAGTATACTGCACTGCAGTCCTTTCTGTCCTGTTGTACAACTAATAGACATTGCCGTTGAAAGTAGAAGACATAAAGAAATTACAGAGTTTTGATCACGTGTCTGCACAACATTGCTCTTGTCTGGTAGAATCACCCTATGAGCAATATCGAGGTTAGACAAAGGGTACTAGCCAGGATAGGCAAGTCGACTGATGAGGTTATGAACCTTAGTTGACTATTATGGCTTGGAGATGTAGTGTGCTTGCTTATCCACCGCATACCTCAATGTACCATGCTGGCAGAAGCTGGATTCAGGGTGTCCAGACCAAGGTGTGGCACCAGTGCATGAAGTCTTACTATTGGCCTGAGAGGTAGGTGTAGGGAGATGTAGACTGCCTAGTTTCGGTCTTTGTCTACTTTGATATCATTCTTTTTCTATTCATCTGTTCTTTGTATACTACTGTGAAGTGTGACAGCACGAACTGATGCACCTGTGTTGTGTACTAGGTTCTACGTTGATTTTGTCATTTAGTCAGTGGAAACCAGGTAGTTAACTCCATAGAAGCGGTTGAACTTCTATTTGATCATTCGTGTCTAAAATATACTAGGTGGAAAAGTTTATCGTTCTCTTTCTGACAAACTGGTCACGATATTCACACTCTCTTATCATCTAACGCGTTCTCATGTCATATTTTCGTCATCCTATCTGTTAGTCACATAGGTTTCTCTTTTGCCAAAATGGAAGGAAAACTGCAAAAGTGGTTGTGTTGCTCCCTCCGTATGGGCTTTTTGTAGACAGGTCCGCTTACTGTTTAATTTCCTTTTCTTGTTATCAAGACGTCCCGAAAAGAAATCTTTTCTGACTCGCAAGCTCCTGTAGGGAAATAGTTGAGTGGGATACTTTTAACAATGGACAAGATCCTTCAAACATCCCTATAGAATTATTAGTTCAGCAGCTCAAGGTTCAGTGTAGATACAGAGGATATACGCCTGTGACCACTTTGGCGAAATCTTTCTCATTCCACGCTTGATTCCTCAAGAAGTTGTAAGACATTAGAAACTGAATTACAAAGTTTAAAATGTCCAAGAGCGGCACATACAATAGTCTTAATTATTTCCACTAATTGTATCTCTTCAGCCACTCTAGTATTTCCGTATAGTTAGGTGTCCTTTTGTGAGATCTACGTATAATAATTGGTTGTGAGGAATTTCAGGAATATTGAGGTTCCACAAATGATATAAACAGTCTAGTGAATACTAACAGGTGTATAATGCCGTACTACTAACAGTAATTCTGGACTTTATTTAGAAAATGTGGAGTTTTGTTCAATATCTGTTTAAAACAGAAGTCGAGTCTCTACTTTGGAATACAATACTTCACGCTAAGAACCATACACGTTAAGTGATTACATGAACTTAATATTTTATAATTGTCGAACCTAATTTTATGAAATTGCTGACTACCGAAATTTCGTTTACAAGATATATATACAATTCCTCAAAATAAGCTGTCTGTTTTTGTGACTTTATGGTTAGTTTGTTTTCAGGTGGGACAAGTTCTATCATTATATTCATTTTAAATCTAAACTTTTCAGTTGACCTATTAACAGAAGACTACTGTTTTGTACATATCCTCCCAACAACTTTTCAGTCGTATTTAATTAAGCATTTAACCAGTTCATTAATGGTATTAACGTAGACCATAGTAGATAAACTTATGCATTTTCGTTTATTCTTCACCAACAGATAACGTTGATAATTCTTCCGTTGACCATTCTGATTCACAAGTCTTACCAACAGGAAATTTATTTGTCTCTCGGTTAGAATTTAACCAACAGTCATGTCCAACATCACATTCTGAAGTCAAAGCAACAAATATCTCATCTGTATTGTATTTAAACCGTCTTTCCCCTGACAGTACTACAGCAAAAGTGGATTCTCTGCCTGCCTCATTAAAATTGGAATCTGGTATTAATATTTCAACATCATTTCCGTCGGTGATTACGAAGAACGATGAAGGTGCTACAGTCGAACTTAGTGATTTACCACTGTTGGCAAATGCTCTGCCTGGTGTGGAGAACGTAACTATGAATGATGCCCAAACAGCTGTCTCTCAACCCACCTACCTGTCAGCCAGATCTACCATCACAACTACTAGCCTCCCGACAATGACCAATGCTGTTGTTCTCAGTAATGTTGGGTTTACACAGAATCCCTGTTTATCTGTTACAGAAGAAACCAATCCAGTTACAGCAATAGCTTTTTCAGCTAGAAATCAACCTCCTTTTATTCCTTCTCCACTTGTTTTAGGAAATGGTCTGACACTAACTACCCTGCTGTCAGCTGAAAACAGTAGTGGTCTTTTAACGCCTACAACTCCCAATACTGCTTTGTTGCCCCTTTTACCTTCTCCTGGTCCTGGAGGTTTGTATGCTCCTAGTATTCTGTCTGGCCTGTGTTCTTCACCAGTTAATCCATCTGGGACATTGTCTTTCTTATCACCTGTTCCTGGTCTTTTAGCAAATAATAATATTGAAGCAGCCAATATTTCAGTTAGTGGAAGTTTTACGCAAACTTCAACAACAATAGATACTACTATGGTTAAACAAGAACAAACCTGCTTTACTAATTCGATAACAACATCTGATCATGATCTTGATACTCTGAACAAGCCTCTTCTAAATAATCCTTCTGACTGTGCACCTGATACAACAGTTGTCACAGAAGATGATGTGGCTAGTAACGAGTACTTATCTAGCTCTACTGTGAAAGGCGTCGGTGCGTCAAGAAGACGCAAAACCTCTACTCGTAATAAAACTCGAATGATTAAAGCAGAAACTGCAGCTGGTTCTGAATATGAAGCTCATACAGGAATAACATCCAGTGTACCCGAAAGAATATCGGAGAAGCCCCACAAATGCCTGTCATGTAACAAATGCTTTTCTCGCTCCGATGAACTTACAAGGCATGCGCGGATCCACACTGGTGCAAAACCTTTCAAGTGTGTTGAATGCCAAAGGGAGTTTTCACGTTCAGACCATCTAACTACGCATATGCGGACACATACCGGTGAGCGACCCTTCGTTTGCGAAATATGTGGTCGTAGTTTCGCACGCTCTGATGAACGTAAACGTCATTCAAAAGTACATCAAAAGAGTAATCAAAAGCTTCCAAATGGTGACTCTAAACTCAGTGTATCCAAAACTTCTAGCTCTAAAATAAACACTGGTGGGAAACGAGGTTTTCCACAAGCAATGAAAAATCACGACAGTGTTAGAAACCCGCGCAAATTAAAGCCAGATGAACTGCTTGACAACTCTTTTCAATCCAACCGCCTGACTGTAGAGAAAGTAAGTGTACTTAGTGATGGGACCAGTATTAATCAACCTGTTCCTGAACAGCGTTTACTTCTTGCAGCTTGCGACTCCTATCCCGGACAGGTTACTTTCCATGCTTTTCCTAGTATGACAGGTCTCAGTGGTTCTGGTGTGATATCACCACACTCACAATTAGTCTTTGCGGCTCTGCCTTCAATGTCACTTTCTGCGGTTCCAATTTTGAATCAAGTTAACACCGAATTCGCGAATACTTTTAACTTTGCTACTGGAACTTTTACTGCGCAACCTCACGGCCACTTTCTAGCAATGTCCTCTACTCCACTATCTGGATGTGTACCTAATTCTTCAGCGGAAAGTAATATGGCAGCGTTACAGAACCCAACAGTTTCATCATCACCCAGTTTTACTGTGTTTTCCACAATCCCGTCACATACTCAGAATGAAATGAGTACAGAATGCATGCAGGGAACTACTGCTGGTAACGTTATATCATCTTGCATTACAACACCGACTATACCGAGTTGTTACACTATTCGCGCTTCTTTTATACCGCAATCAGTTCAAACATATCCTCCAGGATTGCAGCATTCCCAAAATTCACCGTATTTTACTGCTATAGCATGCTCTCCAGATGGGTTAAATGCTAACCAGGCTGGTGCATTTTTCTCTCCTATGATTGCTGCAACTCCAAACACAACTATTTCAGGTACTGATCTTCCCACCAATTTCCATCCTACCCAAGTAAATATCCAACCAGAATTTGTTACTACAGCTGATGGTATATCTCCAACCAGTTTACTTGCAGCTACTCCAGCTTGTATTTTTATTACCCCCAATTCTTAAATTCTTTTTCTTTACGAGTGCCTCATGAGCTTCAATTTGCTACCATATAATATAACTTTATCACATATTCCCTGATGATGATATCGTCTTATCGCTTTTATTTAGTATGTGTGCTAAATCTGTGATTTCAGATCATGACACATAAGTGTCTATGCAGGGCTGTCACATCATATGCCTACTACATCGTATTTGCATGCGAGTGTACATCATAGCATTATTTGTTTCTTCCTTCCGTATCTGTTTCATACATCGATTTGTGGCATATAACACTTGTAAATTGCACCAATCCTATGATTAATTGACCTATTCTTCAGGATGTGATATACTGTGTACAAACATTAACTTTGAAACTCAAAAAACTCTGAATGCCTAGCACCATAAATGTTTTTCATTTTCAACGAAATTTTCTGTACAGTTAGTTTCGTTTCTGCTTTGCGTGTTCGTTATCTCATTATATCGCCTACCTTCCTGTGTAAAGGTTTCTTTTATTAATTAATGCAACCTGTGCTTTTTATGTTCTACAACTACTACTCGCTTCCATATTCTGAGCCCTGCTGATGCTCATGCAATTATTAACTTATATTAACATGACTTTGTGTGTCTAGTTTAATACTACCAGTAGAAGCGCCCCCTTATTATTATGTGATGTCATATATATATATATATATATATATATATATATATATATATATATATATATATATATATATATATATATATATATATATATATATATATTCGTATTTAACCTTTTATGCTTCATTGTATTGTCAGTGTTTTTAATTTTATTTCTTTTCACTTCCAGAATCTATCATGCTTTATAATTTTAATATATAATATTGTGCACATCAGTCCTATTACTATTACTCTACAATAGTATATCTAACGATTCGTTGATATTTTGTTTAGTTTTTGTGCAGCAACACAATACTCTCCTGTAAGTTGCTTGTTTTTATCTTTTGCGAATAAAATCCTCAGATTATTTGAGACATCTTGTATTCAAACATGCTCCCGTATGCAGTAATACCAGAACCCTTGTTAACTGAATCTGGAAATAAACTCTTTCTCTTAGTGTGATTTTACTGATCAGTCAGTTGACTACCAACCTTCTCGGCGCATAAACAAAACTTAATTACTGCCGTTCAGCTATATGAGATTACGTAGTTCAAATTTCCTTTTGCTTTACACGGACTATCGGTTGTATAGCTTAGAGTAAAGTATACGAATTGGTAAAAGTTTATCGATCGACAACTATTTTACTTTTCAGTGACGATTAACTAACCACCAACTTCCTGCCATAAGTTTTGCGTTTCATCAGCTTAATCAAAGCGCTGAGTTCATGAGCAGTGTACCTGAATAAAAAGTTCAACAAGACTTGTAATGATGCTTGTAAGTTCCTGTTGCTATACAGGGCCGAAATGCTCAGCCTCTGTTAGCAGATGGGCTCCTATGAAGATGCCTCAATACTGCCGGATATTCATGGTGTCACGTTGATCTTGGTGACTACCAGATGAATCCAGGATGCGCGTTTTGTCCTACTTGGGACCCGTCAGCCGGACGTACCTGGACTCCAGCGAGTGATGTTCCCACTGAGGCTCGAACCCAGTACCCTTCGCTCCAAACGCCACAACGTTATCCACTGGGGCACGATAGCCACCTCTTGTGCAACGGGTATCAGTTGTTGTAATGACACTTGTAATTTCCCGTTGCTACACAGGGCTGGATCGCTCGACCTCTGTAACTACTTTCGATTGTTGTTGTACGATTCATATTATTGTATTACGACCGTCAAATTTTTTTCAGGAAGATATCCCTTGGAATCATTTTGATTCAAGTTTTATTTGGTCGCTCGAGAGACGGTGGAACAAGCAACCTCATTCAGACCTAGTTTTATATAATTTGTCTCCGTATCTCATATTCAGATTAAAACAGCCGTTTTCAGACAACAACAATTCACTTTATTCCGTAAACAATAGCAAAGTTAATACTCTTCATTTATGGTAGGCGGATATGGAGTAATAATACTTTGTTCAACCGCAATAGACAGAGCAGTTCGAAATACCTTTTCCGGTCTTGAAAATAGGTGGTGAGAATAAAATTTGACTAAGTATTTCTGACAGCCTCTAACCGTTCCACTCACATGGTAAACGTCGATTACTGCTGTCCTCTTCTGTCCACCTTTTAAATAATTAGAAGGAAAAGAAGTCAACATTTTTGCACGCAAAATTTGATATCAAGTGGGGTTATTTGAAATAAAAATCTTAAGACTCAAGGTCGTAGTTATCACAGTTGCAAAATCTGTCTTGTTTCGCTTAATCTTGGGAATGCTGAGACCAAGAGACAACCACCTGTTCTTATTCTACTTGAAACCTAGATTACTCAGTGACTTCATACTCAATCCAATGCACTTACGATTCTGTGCAGTGTTGCTACTTACTTTCGTACCACAACCGTATATCTAACCTAAAACTTTTTTATTCAGTACTTTCTAAATAACAGTCTAGTATGCTAACATCCAGTATCATACATGGGAGTTTATATGAATTGTTGTTTGATATGATCGTTCTCTAATTCATCCAACAATTACTCAGTCTCATAACTCAGCTAGATTGCATAAGAAGACAGTTGCGTTGCCAACTCCACTATTCGACAATAATACAGCTCACCTATATATACAAAGTATTAGCTTGTGCTTTTGTTGCGTCAAATAGTGCTTCCACGCCTCTTTCCTAAATACGAATTGTCTTGCATGTGGCCGATAAAGACCGACTAGATCAGAGCCTACATTGTCTCACCCAACTTGAAAGTGGTGTGTGAAATCATGCAAGTAAAAAAGGATACTGCATTCCATTAGATAATCTAACTTGATGGTATATTAGTATCACAATGATGTTGCAAACTTGAGTATTGATGCTTAGAATTAGGCTCCTATTACTAATATAATAAATGCAAAGATTCCCATTTAGACATTTAGTAAAACAAACAATGTGAGCGAAGAAATTTTTTTTTCAATTAGTTCCTCATCAATGGCTCTACACTAACCTTTCATTAAACAGCTCTCACCCCTAGATAGGTATGTAATTTTGCGTTTGAAAATGCTATATTAATATAATAAAGTTTAGCCATCATGTGAGGCGCACCTCCCTTTTAATTATTCCTTTTCCTTTTAAAAGTCTCAACATATACTGCCAGCACTTTAGAGTTATTCATATTTCTGAAGTTACTTAATCAACGACAAGTTGATGAAAGTGGTCGACGACTAAAACTGTTCTATTGAATAATTATGACTTGGCACAACGTTTTATGCATTTCTGTTTCCAACATTACGACTGTCTCACTGATCAGTTGCCCATACCTTAGTCTGTATGGGTGAAATTCCGTCTCCCTCTACGTTACAGTTACAAAACATAGTATAATATGGCACTGTGAATGAAACTGATAAAGAAACACACTCGTCACTCATATCAAAACTTGCTTTAACTAGTAGTAAGGTCTACGAAGGAAACGCATTTTGATTTGCACCATAAAGGAGCACCTTTTTCTGTTGATGGTCATGAGATGAACGTTCAACACTTTAGAAGTATAACACTATCTAATCAACCATAACTATATATTAAGTTGAGAATTCCAAACTGTTTGGAACAAAGTGCACAGTTGTGATAACTGATGGATTCCAAAGGAAGAGACCATTCTGGATAGGCTTTGAACTAGAGTTTTCCAGATTTCTAATCCTATGCTCTACTGGCTAAGCTGTTAAAACGTTTAGGTCTCAGTTTAACACCAGTGATATGGTATTTTAAAAGCCCAGAATAAAATAAAATTTCAACTTACCAATATCTAGGCTAGTAACCAAAGATAAAGCTGTCTGAACATAGGCTGATACACTACGAAGACAGCGGATAACAAGCAAACCAGAGGCAGGACACCAATGAATAACCCTTAGACGCGACATGGATTGACCAACTCCCAGTGAACCGTGTGCTAAAGTGATGTTCTGTCTTATCATAACTGAGAGATCAGATTCACTCAGACGCATAGCAGCTGAGTCGTCCTTCTGACAACCCGGATAACCTGGTATAAATGTACTGGGGTTATTTGGTTGGATGGAAACGAAGCAAACAAGATATCGGTTTTTCACACGAACCATAGGACTAAAATGAAAGGAGGAAACACATTAGTTCAATGCAGCAGTTAACTTAGAAGTGAGGTTTTACAACGTGTGATAGGACACTGGCTACAAACACTATTCGTGTGTACATGTTGAATAAATTAGAATTTACGCCTTAATGTTAGATCAAAACAATTGGTGCAGAAATCCTCGATTTGCAACGGTGCTGCCCCAACTTATGTAGACAGACTTCTCATTCATGATACTCTTGCGAGACCGTCACAGGGTCCGAACCAATAACTTCGCATAAGGTTTTAGAGCAATTTCCTAAATTAAAGCCAAACTCTCACCCCTCACTGTGAGAAATTCTCTAGCCGACACTTGAGAGATGAAGAAATATATACCTGGTTGTTGTTGGTAAGTGGTGTAATGCAGTTTTATCCATTGAACTTTGGCTTTTAAATTACGGCGAGATTAATGATGATTCGTGTTTCATAAGACTACTTGCAAATCATAGACTTGAAATCCAATTCTCGAGGTAGTGAGACAACCTCATTCGGTGTTCACAGTGGGGTTTATAAGCCATCTTTTCTACTTATGACCCGTATCCACCACCCGTTTACGTTCAAGGATTTAGCGTGTCCAAGCAGTTGCGATTTCCGGATACAAGCTTTCACCTGTTAACTTTTAAGACGACCTAGACGTGTGAAAAGCGATTCCATGGATAAGAACACATAATTGTCTTGGGCTTTTGAAGAGATTAGTTTTCTTACAACTTCAGCTGAACCAGAGTAATCAGTAGTACTCATTTTGGCCCACTATCGGATGTGAGTTATCGTTCGAATTGGTACATTCCATGAGGTTACCTCGATATACTGTACACTAGTCATTCTCCTTTCGTCCAGTTGTGGTAACTGCAAATATTAACGACTAGGAGAAAAGATGGATGAATGAGATGATGGCTAGTGAATAATAAGTATTTATATTCGTAGTACTCAGTTCAACATCTCCCTTGAAGACTTGACTGTCTAAAAATTGTCTTCAACAAGAAAGCAACAACAGATAGATTAGCGCGACATACAGGCATCGGTTACAGTTTTTTTCAACAGTGCAAAAAAGGAAGTGGGTATGAACTACATTAAACTGAATAATAAAATGAAACGATCTTAACTAAGATGTCAAATATAAGATAAGGTGCGTATATCTCCACCATTCTCAACGATTTTCAGTCTTATCAATAAGCTTCTCCAACCAATGATTCCCAGCATTCAAACTTATAAGGGTTTAGCCATCAGACAGATACTTTTCAGATCTGAAAATGGTTGAAGATCAACCTCAAAACCTATAACTTGATGTCCGATAATGGACCACAAGACGAGGTTGGGGTTTTATAAATAAGGTAGTATGTCCGTGTAACTGAAAAAAATGCAACATTTAAATTATTTCAGTCTATTTTCCGCTTAAGGAATACTCGCTGCGAGCTATAAATACTACCAGATACAATGAGACCTAAACCATGATAAGTAGTCACATTTGTGAGCACTGACATAAAACGGGAAGAATGAGATGCAAGCGAACGCTCTAACCGCGTTTACCCCTTCTTTCTGGTCCGTATTTTCACATGTTGACTCATCTTGTAGAAATGACGGCTATTAACTAAGGCTGCGGTTCCACGCAGAGGATTCAAATCCTGATCGATCCTTTTCAGTATGCAGTGTGATGGCTCTATAAGCCCTTCCATCGAATGAGAACGATTCACACACACACACACACAATATATATATATATATATATATATATATATTGCCGGAATCATGGAACTACTAGTATGACTAATTTTTTCCTTTCTAAACGACGGAGTGTTGATTCTTAACTGACCCGCCTACATTTCTCTAAACCTCAACCATCCGACCCGAAAATACAACTTGTAGACCGGGTATGTTTGTATGTAAGACTACGAGCTAAACCTCATACAGAAGATGCCAAAATGTCAATGCAGAGCTTGAACATACTGGTAAGAGTTGCATACTAGAAGCAGAGAACCATAGCTACCAAACGTTTTGGAATATAACTTTTGTCTAAAACAACAGTAGGCTATTAAAAGCATCAAATTTTTGGGAGGATGTGCACCGGAAAACAACTTATAAATATCCCTGTTGCAACAAGTTACCTCACTGTTTGAAAAAGCAACTCTGAAAACACCGGTGCGATTAACTTCACTGTAAACACCTTGATATCCTCCAGTTTGTAATTAGTAAATAAACAATAACTGTTCCTCTATGAATCCAGTTTTTTGTGCACATTTTGCATCTGATAAAAAGTATGTAGATGATGTCAGTTAGTGCTACAACAAATTATTGCCAATGGTAGGAGATATAACATATCCTTACACCTCTAAACATGTTTTTCGTAATCAAATAGTGTAGAACAGTGGATGAACAAGACTAAACATTCCACACAAGTAAGGTGATTAAGTGACATATTTAGTAGGTTATCTTGTGATTAACAAATGGATGCTCACAAGTATTGTAGAAAGACCAAGTGAAATTTAATTAATTAATTTAATTAAGTACTGATCAAAAGTAGACAGTGGTAGAGTTTTAGGCTGCTTAGCGTCTCATCATTTAATATAGTACTCCAATCAAAACTGCCAGGCAACTAATGCATTGCTTATAACTCCAATTAAGCGTTATTCCACTCGAAACCGTCTATTTACACAGAACAAGGAAATAAATCAACCAAGAAATGAAACTTTAGTAGCCATAAAGTACATATATATGTATTAAATATTGCCATGAGATCGATACGGTTATATCGGTCGATCATTTGTAATAAATTAACTACTCATTATCGCTTCAACAAAAGCTATACACCAACACCGTTTCACATCACAACAAAAATACGCTTGCTTTTACGTTTAAAAACCACGGAATGATCATTTATGTTTTTTTAACTTTCATTTACGTGTGCATTGAAAAGAGGTCTGTTAATTGCACAATTATCAGAATTAAATGTCACTATGATGAAAAACACATCACACTTTACACAACCATCATATTCACTATTAAAATAATTAAAAACGACTGAGAAAAAGATAAGGCTGAAAGGGAGAGGAAAAATGTAATATCCAGGAGAATTTCAACAGGAATTAAACAATTTCAATAAACACATTTGTTTATACGGTCATTTAAAGAAATTAACACACTTCACATACCGGATTTTACAAAAAGTATTACTTGCATACACTATTAGGCCTGTGAAAACATAAAACCAACTAAAAACCTAAATACTTTTGAAAACAATGTAGATGTTAGTTGAAATAACCTTACAAAGAAGCGGAAACTCAATTGTCAGTTTATATTAAAATAAAACAAGAAGTGAGAATAGAAATTAGATAATCTATCACATATTTCGCATAACAGCAATTACGCAATTAACAACCAGCCAATGAAAAATATAGCAATAAATAAACATAGCTTTGACATAGTCTCTGAGTCAGCAGTCCAAAAATTATCCGGTGAAACCGGTCGACTGTTGACATTACCACTGTTCGGATTAGCGGAAGTACCACTTCCACCTAAGTTAAAAGTTGTTGCAAGAAATCCGAATGGGAATGCTCCAATACCAACTGACATCCGAAAATTTCCCCCATCTGAACCACCGAATAATCCTCCCCATGTTCCTCCGAAAGTCCCCATACCTTGATCGGGTTCTGTGCGATGACCAGCTGGACGAGGTGGAATTTTTGTGCGAGGGTCTTGTGTGTGGTCTGCACCACGTCCATAGAGAGGAATAACCTGACCAGAAAAAAATATAGCTTAGCACAACTATTCTCCGATAAATTGTAAGATTTCAAACAATTAAAAATTCCAATTTCATATATTAAGAGTCAAATATGAACGAAGAATATTCTTTTCGATAACTTCTAGTTAGGTTCTATAGATATAAAATTGATTTCGTTAACATACTAAGAGCCGAAATTTGCTGCGAATGCATTTTAGAATGGGTATGGAATAACAGTTAAAACATATATGTACGTCAATCGGGGTGGCAAGTTGAATGTAAACATTTATGATTTATTGGTGATCAGACGGAAAATTGAAGTTCAAGGTTGTATTGTCTTGAACGAGTGATGATTAGTACAAAGAATGACACAATTTTACCATAATGGCAGAAATAGAGTGGATGTCATCATAGGAAGGAGCAGGAAGGGGAAAAAGATTAAGAAAGAAACAAAAAGGTTGAGGGAATATCGTTCAGTCAAGGGAGTAGTGTTCTTCTTAAGTACTAAGTTCAAGCTTAGTTGATCTTATAGCTACACCTCCCGCTGTATGGAGAATGCGTAAGACAATGCAGATGGTACAGTCTTCGGAACGCAGTGTGTCACAGTAAGAGTTGATCTCACCCTTTGCAAACCATGCTGCTAAATGTTCTCGCATCCTGAGACGGATGTATCTAATGGTGCGCCCCATATAACTTGTTTCACAGAAACAGTTGAATTGGTATATTCATGATGATGAGACCGAATTACGCAAGGGGTCCGTAAGTCTCAGTTTGAATAACGGTTCACTTTTAAAAGAGAGGCACGGATGTCCTGAGTGAAGCGTTCTACTTTATTATTGTTCTGGATAAACGTCGTGACAAAATTTCATTCGGGATATCTCAGTTGAATTGCAGACGCAGAAAGAAAGGTTTTTTCTGTACTCTTGTCAATTCATATTTCTGAGTATCATGAGCTATGTTTGCTTTTAGAAACTTTACAGAATATCCGTTTTTCTTTAAAATATCTTGAAGGACTTGTAATTCGTTCTCGACACATTCCTCGGGACAGACTGATCTTGCTCTAAACGCTAAACATCTAATATCATTTCATCTGTACTTCATTGTTACAAAATTGAAGGAGTGTGTATACTGTGCTATGGTTGTCTTTCTATATCAAGGAACCGTTTTCTTTTCTTGTCAGCAGGACATCAAGGAATTGAAGATGATTAGAACTTTCACATTCGTTTGCAAAATGAACTAATGAATGGGTGTCATTGAAGGGACTGAGGATCGAATCAATAGACTTTTATTTACCATAAACTAGAAATGTAACATGCACATAGCGACAATACATATCTATATTGGTAATGTCATTCTTCAGAGGCCTGTTTTTTAATTTAGCTAAAAATATATCAGGAAATATAGGGCCTAGTGGGGATTCCATCGTTACACCGTCTATTTGATTGCACATTTTGCTATTGAACAAGAACTGAGCACAATGTGCACTTGACCAACAAAAGGGATGTCAGTATTTATTTTCCTTTCAACCAGCTGTTTGCAAAAGTAGTTCACAGTTTCAATTAGAAGAACACTGATAAATAGAGATGTCATATCAAGAGGTCCTATGCATCTTTTCATAATTGTTACTTACTCTGTTGACAAACTGGAAGGTATCCTTGACACCATATCTGACTAGTTCATTCTGTAAAGGCTGTAGTAGTTTTACTGGCCACTGTCCAATACCGTGGTAATGCGAGTGAGATATGTCGAGGATAGGGGGGGATGGCACTTTAGTTTACGTATTTTGGGTAAGCCATAAGCATACAAGAAATCGTACTGCTTACGGGTTTCAAACATAGCTGACGAGATAAGTCTTTCTTTAAGGTTCTCTAGTGAACGGATTTTTTCTGTTCTTTCAGTTGGGTCTTTCAATGATTCTATGTTCTGAAACTTTCGTTATTAATATGTCAACAAAATTGATTTGGTAACTGCAGAACCTGATGAGAAGTTATTGAAAAGAATATTCTTCGTTCACACTTGACTTTTAAAATTATAAGATGTTAAAACTTTTACTTTCCGAACACCATTAATCTCTCAACATGAATCCCCAGAAAATGCATATCCGCAACGAACGACAATAGTTTTATGGGCAACCACCTGTACTGATGACATCCCTCATTGAATAAAAAATTGTTCACTAGCAACCTTCAGGTGTATGAGATGGCAATAATTTATTGTGATTCGCGGTGAACAGTGATTGTTAACAGTCACCTACAATATAAATTAAATTTTTGTCATGCAGATAATCAACTAGGTGGCAAAGTACTGAAACTGAATGAACACACTAAGAGAACATATACAGAAATACAGTGGTGAAAACTTTCTGCTTTGAAAGATAGAAATAGAAAACATAGAGTATAGGTGTAAAACTTGGGCACTGCACTGTGGTAGAATTTAATTCCATATTGGATTTGTTTATTTGACTCATAACATAGTGATCTAGTATTATTCACTTGATGACGTTTCGAGTATAAATTATTGCTCATATTTATATCAATGTAATCACACTACTTTCGACATTTGATTTTTATAGTTATGTCACTTTATATGAGTTGTTTTTATTGGTAGTAAAATTTTCGATATCTCTGGTATATGTGTTGCGTCATTTCTATCACATGTGTTGTGTGTTGATTCGATAAACAATGATTCAGTACGTGCTGGCCACGGAACCCAAAGGCCATGGGTTTGATCCCTGGCGGGGTCGTGGGTGTGCACTTTTGAGGAGTCCCATACTAGGATGAAACAGCTGTTCAGTGCTCCCAGGTTTCCTTTGTTTCTCTAACTGATGTCAGTCTACGATGAATAACAACTTGAAAGATTCAGTAATTAATCTCTCTCTTCACCTAATTATATTGAACCTGAGTACAGTGGGTTTATCCCACCCAATTGTGTGGTTGTGTGTTAATGTATGTATAGCAATAGCCGAGTTTTTTTCTAGATTATTGATCTTATTTAGGTCTGTTATTCCATACTTAGATAAATTCCTATGTTCGGCCATTCTAACTGACCCCGACCGACTAGTTTGACCTATGTACTTGACCTCATAGTCATTACATGGAATTTGATAGATTATATTATTTTGCTTAATTGATTCCATCGGATCCTTAAGCCGACAGAGTTTACATAATCTTTTTTCTGCAATATTAATCACTACTGTACTTAGATTACAACTATCCAGTAATTCGTAGTTTACACTGCAAAACTTAGGAATCAACCCATTTCCACAAAAATTGAAACCGAATGAGCTTAGTATCTCACATAAATGAACGACATAAGAAATACAAACACTATGCTTTATTCATTATTTTTTGTTCCTCGTACATTTTTGACACAAGTGAACTTCAATTTGGAGGTTTGTGGGGATTTATTGATTTCAGGTTGGTATTCACCATGGACTGACATTAGTTGGGGAAACAATGAAAACCTGGAAGTACTGAACAGCTGTTTTGTCCTATTATAGGACTCCTCAGCAGTGCACACCTATGAATTTCATAGTGAACACTGGATGCTGGAACAGGCAAATGTTTGAGGATCAAAATAACAGTTTGTCAGTGAACACATTTGCTACTTAGTTTCAAAAATAAGTAGTGTGGTGTTTTCTGTGAAAATTCCATGAAACTAAATGCTTCGAAGCTCGGGGTACAGAATAATGAAAGATAGATTATAAATATTAGCGACATTCATAAATGCACCCAGGTGGTTTTTCGATCGTTTTTGAATACCCGTAGAACTAGGAGAAACAGCGTATCGGAAAATACATGAAATGAAGAATAGCTAATAAATGATTCAATGAACGAGGAGAAAGTTACTGTATCAGTTAAAAGTGAAAACAATATTTACGAATTGATACTTCAAAAAGGAATGCAGTATAGATTCTGAAAACTTTCAGGTAGCCTCAATAACTTAAACAATCTCCAACCTACTAATACGTACAGTTCTACAAGAAATGGATTAGTAACATTTTCGTACCGTGTTCAAAACGCATAGCATCTCTTGTACTCACTAGACTTGAATTTTTCAGCACTCACTTAACCAGCTAACAACAAATAGCATTCAGAAGAAAATATTGGATGGATTCCCAAACTGTTATGGATAAAAACACAATGGGGTTACAATATAACTGCCGCAGAACTGGTTAATAGACGCATATAAATGGAGCACAACTCTTCAATATTCAAGTATAAAAATTTCTGAATAATGCGTGTTTATAACCAATTATTATCAGATATGTGTAACGAAGTTAAATACGACACAGAAAAAGTTAACAAAATACTGACTTTGTCTCTGCTGATAGCAGCTTTGCAAACTGGGCACACTGTACGCGTTTCCGCTGTTTCAAGCCAACGATGTAGACATGGCCAACAAAAAAGATGACCACACATGCTCACCACTGCATCTCGAGCGGAATCAAGGCATATGTTACACTCGAAAGATCCTGTTGTACCACTATTTTCAGCTCTCTCAGTTGTGTTAGACTGGCCTGGTTTGTCGGTGTTGTTTCCTGGCAGTTTGGAAACTTTAGGTAGATCTGATTTCGACGTAGACGCTGTTGCAGATGTTTGCATTTCTCCTTCTTTGAAAATATGTCGTGAAACGATTTACCTCAGAAACATTCTAAAATTTGAACAAAAAAGTGGTACACAGGATATTAAAAAATCAATTTTACAAGCACTGCGAATGGATTACTTATTTTTAAAAATGATCTGTCTTATTAATCACAATAGGCGAGTAGGAATAATATTTATACACGACAATGTGAACGATAATTCAAGCGAACATATTGGCACATTTCGTAAGGGATCAAAATTCCCACTCGTGTACATAAATCCTTGAATAACGTACAAAACGAAGCCGACTACGTCTATCGCTATCACTCAATGGAAATCCTAATTCATTTAGGTTCAATAATTCGCATAAAATAAGAGAAACCCACAGCTAGTCCCCAGGATATCTGTATGTAACAGATTACAAATATCACTGAGCACTTATGTACAATAGGCAATCCATGGCAGCGAAAAAGTTACTTTAAATTATTGCAAGATAACAGCAGTACGCTGTAAGACTCTGAAATGTAGTCACCAAATGTAGAGAATATAAGGTTACAGGTATTTAGCCACCATTCCCTTCACAACAAAACCACGTCTCATGGAAGCATCAAATGAATAAAGATGTCACATGCAAGGTTTTACGTAAGCAAAGTAAGTCGGTTGGTGAAAGTTTGAAACCTTCATCCGTCGAAGTGGTTGGGATGTGTTGAAAGTTTAGAAACACCGTGTTTTCTTCCCTCTCCCTTAGTTACACCCTTTTACTTCCTACCTTATGTACTAATGTGGTGTGGTAATTTCAGTGAATACATAGAAACCCTATCCTCAAGACGCGACATAAAATTTGGTTAAAAATGTCACTAACTTTTCTAATAACATAGTTGTTGGATTTTTCCTTACATTATCACTACATACCCTAAAATTATAAGCACATCAGAAATTGAGTGTCTGTCAGCTTAACTATTTAACAAGACGTTTAGGGAAAACCAAAAACATCTTGAATCAAACACCACACGTTTGCTAAATGAAAATCTAGCTTAAGTTCAGTAGTATTAAACAACAAAATAAACGAATCGCTCAAGGTATTTAGAAAATCTTTGCTGTTGAGAACAGCTTAGCATTCTGAACAACTTTAGATTTCATCGACACATACAACTCATTGGTTAGCCAACAAAATGCTACGATGACGTAAGTGCTTTTTCAGGTAAAATTCCCGCTACTCCACAGTCAATCAGTATCAACCTGGGACTTGGAATTGTTGAGTAGTGGTCTAGTTGGGACTTCGGTAGGCTGAGTGGGTTTCGAATTCCCGACCCTGTTGGTCAGAATCAGTAAGCAACGGCTCCCGCGAGAAATATAACTGTAGAACTATTAAAAGTGAGGCTATCAACAATCTCATTTCAGAGGTAAAATCGAACTGCTGATTTTTTTAGGTAGTGATCGCATTCATTGAACTGATCCTATTTCTATTAATTTAGAGATAATCTAGTTACGATCATTCAAAAACTAAGCAATATATCAGTTTAATCCAAATAACTTGATGATGAAGTCTAAATACTAGATTATAAGCCATCTCCATCATTTAAGCGTTAACAGTACTGAGTAAACAGATGATAGGAGGTACAAGGTGCGGAAATATAGCCCAAAAACTGCCACTCAAATACACTGACCAGTTCATCATACGGCTAGCAAACAGCAACAAAATTAACCACTACGAACTATATTAACTTTAGGTGTGTTAACTTTACTTGAAACGTATCCATATAAATTAGGAAAGTTTCCACAAGCATTCATTAAACATTACACATGACAACAAATAAAACATAAAATCAATACTTCATAACAAGAGAAATGAATGAAAAAGACACAATCATATCCTAAAATAAGTGTATTTTACTTCCTTTTATTTCCTAATAGAATACTGTCGAATTCAAAACAGCAGGGTTAGAAATTAAAGGTTTAACAGCACACAGAGAAGATTCATGCAATAAAAATGCAAACTCTTTTAAATTTGATTGATTTCTGCTGAAAAATGGACATGAGAATACACTATAAAGTCAAAATTTAGCAGGAAGAAAGAGAAACTTGTCCAAACTCTGTTTCATGATTCACAGATTCATACACAGCTAATTCGGATGCAATGTTTTGAAGACAAGATGATTTCACACGAAGACCAGCAGCGATACGACCAAAACTTTTTTCATACGTGGTGCTAATTTCTTCAAAAGCAGACGCAGATGGCTTCAGAACAGGGTGCTGAAGAAAGAATTCAGGAAAGTAAATTAAAAATAGTTTTTGTTAACACTATATAGAGTACGATTGTGTGAACAAAATAGGCATAGATCAACTACATTAAACCTAAAAACAATAACACAATTCCGAAAGTCTAATAAGAAATTGTGGGACAGGTATTTGGCACACATACTGACCAATTTATGCATTCAAACCAAGTTATGGAAAGCGCTTGCGTGTGCAAAAATATTATCATTGGCTCTATACATCTGAATGACATTATAATCCTTTTAAATACTACTGTGACTGTTTTACTGTAAATATTGATTTTAATTATTATGTTTATTGGGACCTCGTGTGAACTGTTTGGCTGAACTTTTGACACTACCTGAACTGTACGTACTACCATTTCAGTTATTGCTCTTCTTGCGTTATTCTTCAGTACCTTTTTTAGGAAATACTATATGTGTATTTAGTTCAAAGTTTCATTTCGAAAACAGCATAAAAACATGCAACACTTGAATGCACGATTTTCCGTACATAAAAAATATCACTGACGACGAAATAAGCTAATGGGGCGACCCATTTCACTGAACCAAGAATATCCGTCTTCATTAAATATGCGCGGATAAAGTTGTAAGAAAGGTTGAAAACAAACATGCATTGATAAGTGACTCAATGCTTCAACGGTGTTGCTATTCACGTTAAAGGTGTACGCGGTAAGACTGAGAGGCAGGAAAAATCATTACAACTGGGATTATTGAATAACTTTTCATGGTGCCACACCTGATGTGAACATACCAAGTGAGAATGCACCAAGACGGAAAATCAAGAAATGAAGAAAAAAGCGGTAAAAATTGATAAAAAGTCATCAAAAGAGAGCAAGGGAGAATGAGATGCTCAATTCAGTATAGTAGTTAAGATGATGTGTGGATATAACTGCACCACCGACACCGATTGTGAGCCATATCACCTACAGACATCGACTACTGGCTTCGGCTGTCACATGGACCCCAACCAGCTAGTCTGCATCTCCCTACATTGTTCAAACCAACAGTCAAGGGCTTCATGAAGTGATGCTGTTTTAGTTTGGCCGCTTCGAGTTATGTGTTACAACACATGTCCCAGCCACCTGAGTCAATGGTGATTCACAACCTCATCAACTGACTTTCCTCTCCTTCCTAAAACTCTACGCCTGACTTCTGCGTTATTAATGTGGTGACACCATGACATACGACCTATGCTAATTTTGTAGCAAGACTTAGTGAGTGAAGCTTAAAGAATATGAACTCAGATGAGACATTCGATAACAGGAGTAAGTGGAAAACGTTGAAAGTCTGCTGCAAAAAAGGTCTAGCATACGAAAACCCGTTTACTGATTAACTTATCAAATAACATTTCCACCAATTGCACTTCTCTACTCAATCCAACTCACAAAAAGCATTAAGGCAGGTGGGTAAAAACAGAAACTGGCACAAAGGTGGGTCAGTTGAAGTTAATATAACTGACAATAGCATGCGAAGGATTAAAGAGAAAAAGAATGATAGTTGGATACACAAATGTGTATGAGAGCGAGGAATGAAATAGAAGGAAGTTAAAAAGTCAAGAATCAGTGTAGCATGTTTAAATCTGAGCCATTTTGACATAAGATATGTCTTGAGGTATATCTCGAGACATACCGCTAAAACTCTATACACAGCTTCCAATCACTTTGGGGACCTCAGTCAGTCAGTGTACGCAGCTGAGATCATCCTTCAGCGACTTAATGGATTTGTGCCACCTCTAGTCTCCCAAGCCCCATACTACTTCAGCTCACATTGTGCGCTAAGGTAGTGGGTGTACAACTGGACACACAAAAATGTTGCGCAGCACATTTCCTGTTAAAATGTAGTGCGATACCTCAGAGGTAATTTGTATCCAAGCTGAAACTCTGTCAGTTAACATATTGTTACAGATGAAGCAACTGAACAAATTGGTAAAGTGGTCAATTCATTCTACCAACCTATTCCCAATCCTTAAACTGGGTATCGGTGAAGATCATCATCATCAAGTTCAACATAAGACCAGGCATTATTGAGTGACGGTCCAAGTTGCCACACCTCATATCAGCATATCAAGTAACAAGGCAATAAAATGGAAGATGAAGAAAGAAAAATCGGTCAAAGGAAGTGCAGTGCAGACCACCCCCGGAGTATCATTTTACGCACGACAGATGTGAAATGCTCGGCAAATACATTTCAGTTTAGCTCAAGGAGTTCCCAAGACTATATTTTTTTCAGTTTCTTTGCCTAATACCACTATATCATCTGCTTATTACGTCAGCCGAGTGCCCTCTGAATAACAAGCTCATCTTTTAGAATTTGGAAGTACGTAGGGCACATTCATTAGTAAACTTATGACACAGAAGTAAAAGAAGTGACAGTGAATCTCTTTCAAGAACACCAGTGATTACCAACACCAAAAACTATTACTCACCTAAAGCCTTACACGGCTAAGTGTTCGAGTCAAAATTCTTAGTTGGAAGGAAGGGTTGTGATGAATGCTGACCAAGTGAAGCGTGGTTGCAGATCAGTCTTCTTGAAAGTGTTTCGCTTAACGTTCTAGCCTCTTATCCTGAGAAGTTATAGAGTCCCATTCTTTTCTGTGATGTCCTCACTAACCATCGTTTTCTTTTCACTGGTTTCCTTTATAAGTCTAAATAACTGCCTAATGCTCGCACCTCCTTAATCCCTCTCGGTCTTCCCAACCACCACTGCTAGTAATCATTTTGAAGACTTTCAGTTTAAATATTATGTTACCTTCTTTTATTGAAGTCCAAACCCACAAGTGGTTGGACTTTGTATATTCATTGTCCAACTAGGTATTCCAGAAAGAGCGACAAACCTTCATCGCTCCTCGTCAACGATGCCAAATATGATCTACCTACATCTATCGTTGGTTTGATGTTAGCGGGCATCCAGTGAGATAATGTCTCCCTACATGCTTGAAGTTAGTGTTGGCCAGGAACAAGTGATTATCAGGACAAAACAACAGCAGACGAGCAGCGTTGTTGGTTTTCCGACATGGGGTACCACAGGGTATCAAATCGAGACGTGCTTCCTGCTAGAGAACTTAATGCAATACCTACACTAACCAGCTTACGAGGGTTAGTTAGTGAACCTCCGAACATTCGTGAAGTGAATCCTGCAGATTTACAAGACTGGCAAGGTCAGGTTAAGTGAATAAGCATATTCAGGTTCTGCGTATGTCTCAGAAACACAGCTAACATCCATAGCACGAAAATCCTCAGTTTTGGCAAGGGATACCTGTTGTCCGATTCGAACACTGAAAGCTCCAAAGTGAAATTGACATCAGGGTTTTAGGAGACTAGGGACATTGTTTTTTTGACTTTGGTCGCTAGTGACAGTGGTACTGTGGGAGGCTGAGGAAGTTATAAGAGGTTGAATATTGGTGTCAGGAAGTTAAGGTAAGAGATGAAAGTGAAGATAGTTTATGAAAATATGTTACTTATGTTGTTTAGTGGCACATTTTGATGGTTCGTAACACTTCCGTGTTACAGATGAGACCCTGTGACCTCGGCTCCATGGTTTCCGATGCAAATCCTGTTGACACTTCAGTTGGGTGGTTTAAAATTAATCAGTTGTGATAAATGTCAACGTGCAATTTGTAACTCCTTCGCAAACTGGTCATCCTATTTAAGGTAAGTAGTCATGGTTAGTTGGGTTTTGTAAGCTGCTGGAAACATGCGAACGGGTCGTCCACACAATGGAAGTTACATACAACATTCAGTCAAGCCCCACTAATTTTCACAAAAAAACTAAGATAGTGGGTAGTCTGATGTACAGTTTATGCTTACTGTTGCAATTAGTGTAGTATCAAAAAATAATAATAACATGATGAATAAACATGTGCATGGTGCACATTTAAGGGTGTTAATAAGTATACCATTCAATTAATGAACAGAGCATAATGACCAGCATGCTAACTGGCCTGTTTCGTCTTTGTATAGGATTTCATACTTGGACGAAACAGCTGTTCAGTGATCCCAGGTTTTCAGTCGTTCTTCGACTGATGTCAGTATGCGATGAAAATCACCTTAAAATCAATCAAATTCATACAAACCTCGAGACTGAACAATAGTTTATTTTTGAATAACGAGAACTATATGACAGTTACTTCGCGAAATTTTCCACCAATACCACAGTTTTCTCCTAGGTGAGATGAGCTCGCTATTTCCCTAGAAAAGTCCTCATTCGACTATAGGTTGATACCCTGTGCCAAAGAAGTCCTACTCACTGCCTTCATGTGGTGGGGTTGTTTTCATAAAAGTGAGAGTAAGAAAACGAATGGCAAGCGTTTATAGTCCCTAAAAGCTACTGGGATAAAGTACATGAAGTACATGCTTCATTACCATGTGGATTACAGTACAAGTCAAGAGTTGAGGGAGTAGTCACTTAAAGTAAACACCAGCTGTACAGTATCTTAGCCCTCAGACGCACCTCTTGGTGCCTAAGTTTGTTCATTTAAATAATAATGGTAGTAATAATTTACTGCTTTAATAATATCTGGTCGCACAGGAGCAAAATATACTGAGAAACAAAACAACATCACAACCTGTTCTAAAAAGTCTTCAGATAACACTTGTGTACAAGCATTAAGGGCAAGTTGCTGAAACTCTTTAGATGAATCATCACGACACCAAGTGGCCCATGATTCCGTAACCTCAGCTAAATGATCGGTAACAGCAATCAATTGAATTACAGTATGGTGTAGATCAGCACCCAGATCATCTAACAAGTTGAAAATTGGAGAATGAATAGTGTCCTCATATACTGGCCTGTCCTTTTTAGCTTTCCGCTTTTGACGCTTATTTGCTTGATGATGAAAATGGCTAAAATGGAAAAGAGGAAGTTTTGTATAGTATTGGAAAAATCGGACATTCATAAAACTTAGCAGAATAAGCAAACTCTTTCCAAAATTAAGAGCTCTGCCGACTTTGATCGACTTTCTTACGTGATTTCGGCAAAAGCCATATTAGAAGTAAAATTACCTCAACAGCTTCACCCAATCAGTTTACTCCGCATTATCTCTTCATGTGATTCATAACATATTCAGTTAGATTACTAACCCGTGAAAATTTACAAGACCCAAGAGTATTTTACAGAAAACCAATGGACAAAAGCGTGACAAACTATGTGCTAAATTCAGTCAGACAAACCATTTAGTGTTGAATGAATATCTTAGATAGAATAAAATGACAGAGATTATCTAAACTCAGGGGTGACCCGGCATGTACAAGACATGTTCAAACCACTTCAGGTGGTGATGGGTCCCCTTAATCTGCGGTCTGCCTGTCTTACCTAGCATTTTGTAGACAACTTAGTGCTGTTTACCTTGGAGTTACGCCACACGTGAACAATGCTTTGAAAGGCACCTATGATCGATAAATTATAATCTCTTCTAGCTTTAAAAGGATAGAAGACACTGCTGCACAATACAATGTTCCTTCGGTAGGTAGTCAGAAGTCTCATTAATGCCAGAGACAGCACAAACTGAAAAATGCAGAATGAACATTTTGTATTCATCTTGAGATTTCATTAGAAACAATGCCGCTTCTCAAATATGTGAGGTGGTTAGTGTATGCAGAGAATTCACTCCTTATCTTTACACTCGAGGTTGGTGTAGACTCACCCTGAAGCAACACATGCCAAATGTATTCATATTTTGGACACTTAAACACCACTAATATGACAATATTCGGACTTTTTACCGTAGTCCTACCAAAAGCTGTCGAATATGCAGCGTAAGCCAAGAAGTTCAAACTTAGTCACACTAGTGGACACCTTTAATGGTTAGTTGAGGAGAGGCAGCTAATCGGAGCTGTGATCCACTGGTTCAGCTACTCAAGTTTCAACTTGGGGTTTGCTAATACCAATCCTACTCCACCTACCAAGATTTTGACAGTCGGGTAATATCACTTGCTGGGATTATTAGATATGATTCATTATCGAGTGCACGAAATTACACATGGTGCTGTTACAACAACGGCAACAAATAATGTGCCAAATCCTATGTTGTTTAGCCTGATTACCAGTCTACTCTACCAGAGTTGAGTTGGTTACCATAGCAGTGGAAGTATTACTGTTATTATTATTACCATTATTATGATCACTAATATTGTGACTATGAAATAACCTGAAGGAATCACAGAAATGAAAGAAAACTATGCAGTCCTCACATTTTAAGAACTTAAGGTTGATGCAGAAAACTTGTAGTTAAGATGTATGTTTTGTGGTGGTATTCAGCACTTTAAGACGTGATTCAACACTATACTGCATGGAGTTGCCTAAAATGCTCTTTAACACGCAGAAAGAATATAAACTTCATAACAAGAAAGCATTAATAATGTAATTGAATTTACCTTCTAGGACGTAATGCACTCCGTATCATTGATGTTAGTAGACTTCCCAATGAAATACTCTCAAAAAACATGGTCAAGATCAGTAAAATACCACCAGGATGCACAAAATCAGTTGTATGTACACTTTTCGACGCAAAAGGGATAGAAGCAGTATCTACAGCTGGGTAAATCTGTGGCATATCCTCACATTTCGACTTATAATTTTTTGACAAAAAGCATTCGTGAAGGGACTTAAGAAGACAGTTCATACTTTCTTTTTGAAAGGAGCCTGGATAAGACAGACAAAAAGTTATGGAATAAAGTCTTTCATATGAAGAGCTATTACACTTAAGAGGATGACCATACAAGAACATTAATTCTCATTATATTGATGAAGAGTTTGTCTATGGTGTAAGAAATCAGTTTACAGTAAATAAATTTACAATGAACATTTGCGCATAACGACTTTTTCAATTTCAGTAATATTCCCAGCAAAATTAAAATACTGATTATTACGCAAACATTCTTTTAAATTTATTCACAATGAAAAATATTAAATATTTTTGCTCCTAGAGTTATCTCGTCAAAACTTACATGGACCATTTGAAACCAAACTGAAAATACCCAAAATAAGCTCAAGACCAATAGATAAAACACTTCGATATGGTCCGTAACAATACAACGAAGCACAACAGATATTTGGCAAATCTGCATATGTTTTCAATATTTGGTCACGTTTTGTCATCACACTCCAAGACTAATTTTTTTTAAAAGATGAAATGATAAAAGAAAACCAGATTAATTCATCTTCAAAACGTATAATAGATTTTAGAAGCGAAAATTTTCAAACATTGCTATACTTTCTGTACTGACTAATCAGAAGTGTCTTTTGATCAAAATCCTCTTTTCATATGGTTTATGTAAAGCGTAGTCCTACTGTGAAATGATCACCCCCCCTTCCCCGCAATCTTTTAGTGGTTTCAATGTCTGTGGGATAAAAGGTTGATCGTAGAACTCAAGAAAAAACTAGAACGATGAAATTACGCTTAACTTCACTAGTTGTGTAGATATTCATGTACTAGAGATTATGAACTAAGCCTTGTGTATGAGGAATAACTAAAATATATAGAAAGAATACCAAGGAATTTAAACTCATGATTCTATTAGAAAATCGGAGGCCTAAACAGCCTGAGCGAGGCTAGGTTATGAACAGTAATACATAATATGCAATATGCATGGTGATCTGGTTAAAATTTTAGACTACCAAAAACTCTCCATAGTATATTACATCAAATTACTACTTTTGTATTTGTTTTATTTATTCAAATGTCAAATCGTGAAATGTACTCTCACGCATTTTTAAAATATCTTATCATCATACTTATAAACTTATCATCATACAAGCTAACAACAAAATTACGAAAAAATGTCGCTGTAGATAGCAGTTGACTCCTGAGTGCACAATAATTTATCACGTAACTATTATATGAATAGTTAGCAGGACCTGCAAATTTTGATACTGGTTGGATGATCCTCCACCACTAAACCTATGGGCGTTTTTCTATTCGCCACAACCGTGCAACAACATATCTACAAACTAGACGACAACCTAAAAACAATAGGTCGTTGTTTGTTATTGCTTGGCTTACTGATATTATTGACAATATTTAATTGCGATGGCTATTTACTTTGAAAATACTGTACAAGAAGTAAATTTATTGAACTCCATACTGTGTTAAAAATTATTGTCTAGAATAAGGTGATTATTGCTACCTGCATGAAGAACTGATAAAGCAACACAATTCAAACAGTTAAGTAATATATTTTTGAGATGAATGGGGATTTTCAATTTAGAAGTAGTATTCATCATGGACTGACATCAGTTGAGGAACCAGTGAAAATCTGGGAGCACCGGGTGCGTACTGCTGAGGAGTCTCATACTAGGACGAAACAGCTGTTCAGTGCTCTCAGATTTTCAATGGTTCCCTAACTGATGTCATTCCATGATGAATACTACTTCTAAAGTAAAGTGATAACTAATGCTTTCATTATTCACGATTATAACAATTTGAAAGGATATTTACATCAAAGCATACCGCTACCTGTTGTATGCATTATAAAAACCTAAACGAGTACAGGTGTTCACCTCAAGAAAGAACCTCGAAACATGTTTGTAAAGTTTTTAAAAACAGAATAACTTTTACCAAGTGAAACAATGTTATGCATTACAAAATTCCTCCTAGATAAGCATGAATGTCGATCAAACGAACAATTTACATTAAAAATCAGTAATGTCTGATAAAATGAATTATAAAAACTTTTCGAAGTTGATATAACTAGTTGAACATATACTAAAGTGTTTGACATGGAAGTAAAAATAAAGAAGTCATGTTACTTAACAAAGGTTTATGCATTTGACAGTGATCCATACCTATGGCGTGACGGTTGATGATACTATCTGATTGGCTAAATCTCGGTGGGTACATCAAGGTTAGAACTTATGACCTAGATCAATGAGCGAAAACTCTGCCTGAGGTGGGGATGTGATATTGAAAGTAGGTCAAATAAGTAGAAACTCACAAATAATTTAAAATCACTTAATTCTTCTTTAGATGGCTCCTTGATGCATGAAGCAATGTTACTTAAAGTCGATAATAAACTTTTGACATTTTCAACTGACTCTGATGGTGATGAATTTTCTGCTGTTTTTTGTTGCCCATCAGAAATAAGATGGTGTAAAGTTTTCACAGTAGACATAACAAGCGACGTTCCAGCCATTATGGCGTTCAAGGTTAAACAACGGAGATTTAACCACGACACCTGAAGAAGATAATGAATACACACATGAGCAATATCTTAAACAGGATTAGGTATTATGACACAGCAGGGAATAAAAGTGATGAGACTAGCATATACACCTGCTAAGCCAACAACGAAAATAGGTAAACTCAGTTGACCGATTAACTGACTGAATTATTGGATATGCTCTTTAACTAACTCCACGCTTACGTACTCAGCCTAAACGATCAAACCAGTATCTCAAAAAAACAAAATTTTTATGCCAGCCTGTTGCGCCTCCAACTCGCAATATACCAGCCATTGATAGATAAACAAACATTAGGTAATTAGTGGATAAACATTTTATTAAGTTCCGAAAACAATAAACGTTTTGAAAGTGAAATGATAACTCAGAAGTGAGATACGAACAAGGGATATGCCTTTACTACGTTAATCCTGTCATCTGAACGACTAAAACTGATAAGACTTTTACCATTATAAATATGCATAGGGTTATGATGCATAAATATAGAACTAACACAAACTTGTGAAGAATGCTGAGTTGAAACCGAACCACTCACTTGACTGAAAAAACACATAAAACCTGATAAAATACTACAATCGTTCAAACTTCTACAATACTACAAAAGAAAACCGATAAAAGGAAGACATCTTTGGAAGAACTAAAAGAAGCACCGGGTGGACAAGAAATAAGTAAGTATACAATAATGCAATATTATTTAGTTTGTACACATAAAGAGTGAATGCATTTACATCACCGTGGTACTTCCAGCCATACAACCTAGGTTTGCAAACTGCTAGTTCCTACCACTTTCTATACTTCTATACTAATGGTATTCCTGCTTAAGCCATGCTTTAAATCAAATGATAGTACACAAATAAATGTAGCAACCGATGTGCATCGTAAAATCATATCACAAAAAAGCTATAGTTACTACTAATATTTTGCCAAAGCTAATAGTGCTTTTTGAAAACGTTTCTCATATACATAACATACAAATCAATACAAACTTTCAAACAAATAATACAAAACCACTTACTAGATGTTCAAATGACAGCTGCACATTTTCATAACGCTCATATCTAGTAAATTAAATTGAGTAAGCGAAAGACAAATGTTACACTTACGGATCAAAGTTGGGTGTGACTGAAAAATCCCGACAATCAGCAATAGTTTTAAGATGCTTCGAAACTAAAAGGGATTAGAAATAAACAGCACAGAAGTGAGACATTAATTTTCAAAAAAATCACACAAACAATTAAATACTGGTCCGAGAAATTTTGAGCACTAATGAAACTCAACCAACTCATTCAGGAAGATTTTTCGGTGTACTTACCATTATCTATACTTTTTTGAGCTGGACCAAGTTCCTCCAACAAAGTATCGAAGCTGAAAATGTTTACAAGCGACAGATAGACAAAATGTTGATAAAAATACAAATTAACGCACATAAGTTAAGCATACAATCTAAATAAAAATGTATTCCAGCATTACACGCATAAATTTGACTAGTAGCAAACAATTCAGTGGAAAGCTAATTTACTGTCATCAACATATATAGTAAACTACAAGAAAATGTAGCTGACTGTGCAATATAGAAGGTATGACAAAGAAATATAATAGTAGTAACTCACTCGGACTGTGAAACAACTAACTGCCAATGAAGTAATTCTGCACGCACAGTTAAAAAAGCATCAGCATTTCGAAGCTGGCTCACAAATTGTGTGAATTCACGGATTTTTGTATAGGCGTGCTTTCGATACGTAGCAACTAAACACTCTTCAGCTTCATTGACCATGCTATTTGAAAGTGCTATAATCCTCTGGTAAAGACTGTGCACAGAATTGCTTTCATCATCACTTTGCGATTGCGTAGGTAGAATATCTGTACATGCGGCCAGTGACGGAAACGGTTGAATGACTAAATGTCTGGAAATAAGTACAGCACGAAATAAAACAGATGCATAAACCCCGGTTACAAGCATTTCATTATTATTATTACTATTATTTTAATCTGAATGGTTATTAACATAGTGAATAACATATTTCTGGTGTAAACTAGGCTTTAAGCCACACCTGAAGTGTGCGCTCTTAGTACTACTAGATTGTTCAAATCCAAGAGGTAGTGTTTCCAATCAGGACTTAATAAATGATAACATAGTGTCTAGATGACGGACCTCATGAATTCCATCTAAACTGCTAAAATGGTGACAACAGAATTATATATATATATATATATATATATATATATATATATAGGGTTAAATATCAGATTTCATAGACAATGTGAAGAGGCGATGAGAAATACTAGGTTTAATCAAGTTTGCTTCAGAAATCCTGTCACTCGACACTAGTTAAAACTCTCTAGAATACTTTAAATACATTTTCACAGTATTAAACACAAACATTAACTTGATTATAATACATGTAGTTCTTCATAAGTTTGAGATTTCAAGTGTACATACACACTATCTAAAACAACGCCAGCGAGTTAACTGTTATTTCAATCTTAAATCACTAGTGATTAACTTGGCCGATATTTTTTGTAATAAGTTAGAAGAATGAATTGTTTTTCTGCAGAAGCGCTTAGATATGAAGATTACTTTGATATTTTTAAAACCTAAAGCATTGATAAAAACATGCAGATTTCGTATGACTCACCCCAATGAGATGAACAGCAGCTGCTTGACTTCAAGCTTATCTAAGTGAGGCAGGAGAAGTTCAGTACAATTTAGGAAATTGGATGAATACAAATGACACAACTTTATACGCAGATGATGATTAACAGTTGTATACTCTAATCCGATTACATGAATCCAGTAAACGGCAAGAAGTCCGACACCAAATGAGAAAAGGTAATTATCATCTGGGATAGAGGATGTCTCCAGTAGTGATGACAAGGATAGTAACAAAAAACCATCGACCGGATAAAGATCAAGAAAAGTTGCCTCGTCTTTGATAGCGATATCCCTTAATTTCTTTAGCAACGCTTCACCACGGTCTGGAGCATATCCGAAGTAGCAGCGTAGTGAAGTCTGTAGAGAAGCTTTAAGATTATTAGCACGTGCTATTTGATAAGCACACAAATGGCGATATAGGGTTCTGTCGTCTCTATTTATCTGTTAAAAAAAACGATTGTAGACCAATAGTTATAAAGCGCAGTGACTCATTAAAATGAAAAGCTCAAAAACCAGTTAATTTCATAGAATGAACAAATAGATGCAGCAAAAGTTTCCGATTGGCCAGACCGTAGACAGTAAAAGCCATCCGATTAGTGACTGTTAGTCTAAGTGGTTTGCGGAATTGCACGCATCCTCAACGTGTCTTATGATATATTATTATCATTTGGCGCTTAATTACAAAATGAGCTTAATAAGGTACACTATGTAGTCCAATGAGAGCATGATACTAAGGGGAAACAAGTGAAAGAAATAACAGCAACAATACGCAAAAGCAATAACAAAGATATTAATGGTGTTAATTTCTTTTCCTTAGCTTTACGTTACTATATACAGGTGAAACCAAAACAATATCAAGATTGCTTAGGAGTTCTGTTTTGTCATAAATGACAACATACATACTCGGTAGGATCACATCCAGGAAGTCTCAATGCACTAGCAGATTTCTTTTTCGTACTGAGATGTCAGAATGAAGAGTGTTTTACTTATCTGTGAAAACTGTAAGAGAATTGTTTACAACACTATGTATAGGTAAGGTACCTGTAGCTCAACGTTAATGACCAGTAAACTAGCTAGAATAAATTTGTTCATAAAATAAGTTCACGAACAAGAAAGTTGCAACTGTATCTCTTACACCTTGCCCTTCTATCCATGTGTAGACCATCCTGATAGTGCGTTTCTATTTTATGCTGAGATATGACTAAATAGTCTGGTACAGAGAAAAAGAAACCATCTAAGTTCTTCAATTAGTCAACAGCTTGGGTTATCTAATGTAAAGAGTTGTCGCACACCGAGCTTTATAGTTTCAAAAATTCACTACCACACAATGTGAAAATAAGATACACTCACGAAATTCTGGTTTGTCTCCACAGTTTTTATTAGGGTTTTAATATACTATCAAAGGAAAAAAGAAAAACACGAGATAAGTTATAAATCAATTCAACAGTAGAGAAAGTGATAAAGTTCTAACCAATAAATTCTGTTTTCCGCTTTCCTAGTACATATTCTGAGCTCCTTTTTTCGCTTTAGAACTATATTCATAACTAATAGAAAAAAAGTATACGTTGTTTTCCTACAGGTGGTTTGTAAGTAGTAAGACATTCCTTTTGGTGACAATGATAACAGATGAAGCACAGAAAACTAAGCGTCAATGTACCATTAAAGTTTCCATTGTAGTATATTTCTGATTTCTAGCACTCAAATATTTAATGTTTTATTCACGTATATGTAATTGATGATGTAAAGACAATATTTAACACTTACATGCGATTTTTTGGGTGGATTATAAACTTTTCATTAACGTAAGTCATTAGGAACAGAGTCTTTATGTATAGAAAATAACGACAAGATATATCTGTCCAACAATAGGGAGTGAATTGGTTGAATGCATCGGCCGTTACATTTAAGATGTTTGATCCGGCCTTTCAATTCAACATTGCCAATTTGCATGGCTTGTGGCACATGAAAGAAATCCGATTGTTTACTGAAGGTTGAGTGTACTACACGGCATTGCCGTACTAAGTGGGTGCGAACTACAGTCAACGTTGGGAAGCAGGTGCGGGAAAGTACTAGGCACTTAACTGCCCTTGCCTTCTTAACGTCACCTGTCTAGGACCCATTAAATGAGCAGGGCAGAGGTCTGAATCAAGTCCCAAGTTAGCGAAAGCAAGTCAGTTTATGAGGTTGTAAGGTTTAAACGACTGATGTGTTTGGTGTGTTTCACATATCCGGAATCACCACCCATCTAGACTGAAGAAAAATCATAAGTTACGAAACTGGTGTATCATCCTATCATAGATTCTCTGACTGTTGGTTTGAACTGTGCAGAGGAAAGGTTTTCATGTTGGAACCCGGGTAACAACCGAAACCGATGATTGGAAACACCAGGTAGTGTGGTTCAGACGCATTCAGTATTTTATGTTCATCTTAATCGTTACATTAATTTTCATAACTTGTTTTGTTCTTTTTTTGTGTTTAATGTCTTTAGATAGTATTTGACTAAGTTATTACTATTTTTCTTGTTGCTTTCTTCCTCATATACTGAGGTTAAGAACTTTGACTGTTTTGTAGTAATGCTAGGTTTTATGTTGATAGTGATTGACAGTAGAATAACTACGAATTCTAGGTCCTGCTAGTCAAGCTAACTACTGTGGTTGGTATGCGAAGATTTACGTTCGTTCATATAATGACAGACGACCGTCAATTAAGAATAGATGAGAGAAAACATCATATGTACTTCTTACTGCTAAAGGTTTTCTATAGTTCTCGAGTATAAATCACCAAATTGAGAAGTGACCCATGGGAGACTACTGTTAAACCGTATCAGATTACTTTAAGATTTCTCAAATACGCTTTAGTCTGTAAAATTGGTCTTGATTACACCTCCCTTCGGTCTACTAATGACCTATCTTACTCTATGGTAATTTTATTAAAATGGGTTTTTGAACTGTTTTAGTGTCTAGGTTGTTATAAACATGAAGTTTTATCAGTATCTTTTGCATCCTCTTCATCTTGTTTACACCGTTTCTCGTCATCATTGTGGCCAAATAAATCATTTAATCCCCTTTATCCGCACATAGTTTTGATGGGAAACATTATATTAGTTCACACCACACCGACGATGTATGATAATTTTCTCTAGCTTTCAGTTTATTTCTGTCTTAACCATTATTCTTAGAGCTGACTGAATAGGACACCAAGTTATATCATATTAAGAGTTCCTGTGGAGTTAAAATTAATTCGTGGTCAGTTTTTCTGCAACTTTACATTAGCCACCTTTATTTTTGGAATAAGCAATGAGAAACAATTTGGATGAAGAAACCTAGCTGTGTAAGGGACCTATGGGGAGTTCTATGAATTCGTGACAACCAGTAGCGTCCACCAGGGATCTCCACTGCCACTATTCCTATTATATATATGCTGTTGAAAACAACCCTAGGTACCTCCGACTTATCATGGACTGACTCCCTTGGAGAGGGTGCTTGGATGGGTATGAAGACGACATAATTCTTTTAGGAGGAAACGCTGACAAAATGCAGAAATCGAAGTATGCTTGATATGCATTTCGCACCTGATCAGTGTACAATGACGCTTCGGGATAAGAACTGATGCAGTGAAATATGCTAAACACTTCACTTAATTAAGCCCCATCAGTCCAAATAGGATGGTTGCCGACGAAATCCCAACTCGGATTCAGAAGGCATATTTGAAATTCACCAACGTCACCTCTAGTACCGGCGAGATATATGACTATCTAACAAAGGACGAGTACACTGCGCTACAATCCTACTATGCGATTTTGAGATATGGCCGGTGAAAGACAACAAGGGATTACATCGTTGCTTGCGTTTAGTGGGATCCGTGTGAGAAGTAAGCTTCAGTTAGACATAGCTTAATAGACAATGAAGGCTAGGCTAGTCAGACGATATGGTTTTGAATCTTCACCAACTGAAGTGGCTTAGACATGCTTTGTATGTTGAGACACCGCCTACACTGGCCTGTGGTGGCAACTGAAGTAGGATTGGGTTAGAAGGCTAACCGAGACCAGATCCAGACCTGGAACAAATCCATGAGGTTTCTATCAGGTGGTCTGAACCGTGTTGGAAGATGTCGGGTATCAGGTTGGGTTCCCGAGACGATGGGAAAGATTGAAGAATCTTGGTGATATGGTTCAAAATCAAGCACATTGGTGTAAATGCATGTACCGTTTGTGATTTTTGAAGCCTTGAGTATTTTCATTAACCTTTATCTATTTATGACGTCTCCTTTCATATAATTTTGTCATTCCTTGTCTATTCACCTTTTCTTTGCATGCTGCTATGAAGCATGGTAGCTTGAACACACGAACTTACCTACTACATTTTACGTTCATTTTTCTCTATTCATTGGTAGCAAACAAAAACATATATTATCTGCTGCTAAGTTGAAATCAACAGAAATCAATTCATTGTTGATCCACACGACATAAGTTCGGTAATAACTATGAATAGACAGTTATAGGAAGACTCTTATCATTTTGTCGAAATGAGACTCAGAGTCGCTCTTCATAGGCTCGAGTAGTGCAACCAACCTACTTAGCAGCGTCTGATTACCATGACTATGTGGATGTCTAGCTGTTTTGAGAGGAGTGTAAGTGTTCTAAGAACGAAAACAGGTTGATCTCATTGTTCTTAGCTATTTAATTTCGAGTGAACGACCGGCAAATAATTCTAATCAGCAACATTAGTATATTGCATCAGATCAATAAATTCAGATCTCAATAATAAAGGTAAAGAACAACCCAGAAAGACTAGTTGGTAGATGAGACTAAGGGGTTTGAAGCTTAGGCTGAAACTATTCTGAGTATGAAACGAGAACTTCTGTTCTACCTGATTAATTGTTAATGTTTATGGCATCCTATGAACACTATTCCAAACAAAAGGCAGGACAAACAGACAGGATTAACGTGGAATTTCGCAAACAAGTGCATCGGCGCAGGTTATCACACTTTCTTGACGTGGTAGTCAGGCTTGCATATCAAAGTGACCCAAAGAGCTATAACTGACTGGAATGCTCGTTCCCTCAAGGTCCTACTATGCGATAAACGTCTGTCATAGTAGTGAGATGAAAAGCAGTTGCCGTTGTAGTGTAAATTACTACACAATGAAAGAGGTCTGAGGGCGAAGTCGTGCTGCTGCTGGCTGGAGTGTGACAGTAGTAAGGTGTTTCTCTTAGATGACCACTAGTGCCACGTTGATACTGCCTTCTAAATAGAAAGGGAGAGTTAGAAAAGACCAACCCCATAAATAACGAACTTCACACTACCACTGCAGTCTTTCGGTGCCACTGGTATGAGTTATCTCTAACCGGTTTTAGAACAACCAAACCTCACAACAACATCCCACAAAACCTTGTGTGTAAGAGACCTTAAGCAGGTGTCCCATGGGGCTATGCGCCCACACTAATCTTTTCTCCTTCAGGTACCTTCAGAAGAAATAGCCTTCTACGGTGTGGGCAGTCGGGAATTGTCAACCACTCGCACGCCTCCAGTAGTACAAAAGACCCAATCAACAATACCTATCCTTCTCAACTCTGTTTCCGCCCTTGCCTTCACCTCCTGGTATTAGTATTAAGCCTCTTCCCCAATTGCTCGTTCTGCATCCATTGTCAACGATGAAAACCATCAAATCCGCATTGCCAGCTTGCTAAATTCCCACTATTGATTTCACGTCCAAAGTCCATGCCAAATCAGACAGGAATCATTGCTCACCAAAACTGAAATCTGTAGCGATGGATGTATCCTGTTCCTGTATACAGCACCCGATTGCGGTTATTAAACTGACCTCAACTGTCCATAGTAGTGAACCTTCAAAATTCACCTAACGAGTATTTGGAGACCCAATGGCTAGCTTTCGTGAACTCCCTGGTGTAGACATAGCATTGAGTTGCAGAGGAGAAAGTGTGCTTCTCGACCGGATACCATACAACAGCCCTCTATTTGCTGTTTGACTGAATGGATCTGTAAGAAATAGGATGGTTCATGAAACTAGGTCACGCCCCTTTGTAATGCCCGCCTACGCACCCACTGACCGCACTTCGGATGATGCAAATAACAAATTCTATGAGAAGCTGGAAACTGCTATCGAAAGCAAAAGGTTCAGATGAAGTCATAATGCCAGGTGACTTTGACGCTCAAATAGAGAAGCTGAGCCAATCGGAAAGGTATCTTCGGGGTATTTACGGAATCTAATGCCAACGAACCGACGACGGTGATCGTCTGTTGCAATTTTACCCCGACAATCACTTGTTTCTGACCTGCATTTAAGGCATAAGGAGACACTCACATGGCGTTTCCCGACTTCAAACCAACGTCGGACACAGACAGATCATATTGCTGTAGATGTCAAGGAGTGAATATATTCTGACCGATTTTCAGCCATTTCACCAAGACCCCTAAACCACTGATTCTCATCGTCCCAGGGACCCCAACTAGGTACTCTACATCTCCCCCACACGGCTCAGACCAACAGCAAGGGACTTCATCGACTGGTGTCACATCTCAGTCTGATCACCCTGAACCCTCTTCGAACCCAATCCAGCTTCCTTTAGCATGGCACGTCGAGGTATACGGTGCATCGGAATACGCAACACATGTCTAAGCCATCTCAGCCGATGGAGGCCCACAGCCCCATCAATCTACTTCCCTATCTTGCCTAGTACCTTTGCCTGACTTCAATATTGCTCACACGGTGGTTCCACGAAACGCGAGCAATGTTACGAAGACACCTGGGATCGAAAACCTGTAACCGCTGTAACTGCTTTCAACGCCCATATCTAACAGTCCTACAACAGGGAAAAAGAAACTGCAATGCAGCAAACTCATCCTTTAATAGACAGTCGGATATCTCGCCGGCGCCAAAGATGATGCAAGTTTGTAAATGCCAGATGGGTCTCCTGTACCCAAGCTGAGATTCTGTCAACAACCGCCATGCTCGGGCCGGTGCAACTTCCTAAGTGAAGTGGTCGACACATTCAACCAACCCACTCCCTACCGTTAAACTGAGGATATTTGTAGACCAGTCTTACAAGTGCCAGACGCTTGCCTAAGAGAAGGCAAGCTATAATCACAAGTCAGCTGGACATACTAATTTTTAACAGAATGGACGAAAGCGTCAGTAACGTAAGAAAGCATATAACTTTGTTAACTAACATAAGTCAGTCATTTGGTTGCACCAAAAACATTTTACTACCGAGAATAGTGATCTTGAAACGACTAGCGGAGATCTGATATGAATTCTGGATTAGACACTTCATAGAGATAAAAACGGTGTACTTACTGTAACTTGGTCATCCCGACTCGGCAAAATCACAGGAACAAGGTATGCTAAATCCATGGAACATATAGGCTTATGACAGAAAGAATTAAAATAATCCAACATGTACGTTAGTGCGTCATGATCACACAATGAGTTCATTCCCAATTTTCGCATACTGGCAAACAAATCTAAACGCGCCAGCTGTGGACCACGAATACAAGGATGGTCAGTTATAGAAGCATTGATTAGTGACAATACCTTCTCAACCCTAGTATAAACAAAGAAAATTACATTGCTCATCTTTACACTGTTCAGATTAAACTGAGTTACAACATGCATTAAGATCAACTGAAGTATTTATAAAGCGTGTAGGACTAGATAATTGGCATAGGCACTCGAATTTCAACCAGTAGGTGGAAAGCTCAGGTGATGATCCACACATCAAGATCTCACCATTCAGGTAGTCGAGTTACAGTCCATTAATTATTCATAAAACAGGGGAGTATAAAGTTGTAAACAAAACCGAAGAACCATGAACACGAAAGTCTACAGCAGCGAATACATACAAGTTTGCGAGCCACATTTATTTTTGTATGAAGAAAAGCGATACATGACTATCTGGAATGAAATAGGTTTTGAACCTGCAACCTGCTGCCTGGAAGCCTAGTGAGTCAACCTGTAAGTCACACAAAAGTGCATCTATTCGGCCTACACAAGGACGATTAGGTCTCTTGAAGCAAACGTCTTCAATTTGTGCTCGGCACAGAATATCAGGTGAATAGTTTGACTATCATTAACCACATGTAAATGAGAGCGTATGTGTATGAACACAACCCAAACTAGGGACTGGAATATAGCTAATTTCAAATACTATCATGAACTTCATATAAAATTTTAAAGCAATTTTTGTCTGCCTAATGCGCATGAAACAAGTTTCAAATTTCAACACCTCGAAACAGAGGAATCGATAAGAGGCGAGAAACAAATGGAACATAAGTAAGCTAGCAAACAGGGGATAAATAAATAGGGACTATTGAGATGTTTAAGACTTTGATGAAGACAGAGAACGCTGGTTTAAAATCACACAATCCAACGTCGTTCAACACTGACTGTCCGCATTTTTAAAATCTTAAACGGCGAGCAACACACTGAATATTCTGATAAGCAATTAGTAACTTTATGAACCAGTATGTCTCGGTCTGATCACCTTTAGCCCTACACCAACCACAACACAGTCGACACTTTTCAGTCATGGAGTCAACACAGATTCACTTTCATCAAATAACTTGCGTTCCCACGTTGCAGACTAAATCTCAAGTCGACATCTACTAATTCCAATGCATGCGTATGATGCTGTAAAACTAACTCCCCGTGAACTTCCCACATGACTTACATTCTAACATACTTCGTCGTACAATAGGATACAAAAATACCGGGTAACATATTCTACCGCTGGTGAACAATTTTTCACAGCATAATGGATGAAGTTGACAAGTCCTAATCTGTAATGCTCTAGTGAAAATATCATAAGCACTCATTTCGTAGAGGTTGATACCTCCCAAACCGACGCGTCTAACCACTTTATTCCCTGTCCTAAAATGTTATTGCAGAACAAGTGAAAAGCATCCCTCTGACGCGCAACATTTCAAACATTCTCATGAATTCACTAAACTTCATTTTTCTAACGTGTTCACCTAACAAGTGTAAATGCCATATACTATAACTTAACTACAAAACGGGTGCGTATATTTAGGTGAACCTGACAAGTACAACAGCGTACTTGTGCGACATTCCTCTGTTAGGCCTGAGTGAGAAACAAGTTTGGTCCATCGTAGTAACAAGGGAGCAGAAACTGAGAAAGACAAGATGGGGATCACCAAGGTGGTAAGTGCAACCATACGAGCTGTTTTTGGGTCGTGTTTCAACGGTTAAAAGAATCACTTATTTTTAGTGCAGTTACATTACAAGGCTCAAAGAGAGTTGGTGTATGTCACTTTAACAAGTTTTTATCTAGTTACAGTGATTCAAGTACAAAAACCTGATTAGCATTTTTTTCATCAATTATAAAAAAACAATATGTTCCAATGCAGTCAACTGATGGAGGAACTGGGATTTACCACTGAAGTGGGCAACTACTGAGGATCCATGGTGAAACAAACAACATCGATTTTTCTATGAATGTCAAGAAAGAGACTGAATATATATATATATATATATATATATATATATATATATATATATATATATATATATGCCACGCCTGAAAACATTTATTACACACGCGTGTCATTTTGACGATGAATAGCCAAATGTGCGAGGAGTGAAATATCCTACCTCGCCACATCTTCCAAAGAAACTTCTATCAACTTCTTCCATGGCATCCAATCATTCGGACTAACATTAACCTGAGTTTTTACCAAAGCATAGAGATCCTCCCAGATGCCCAAATGAGCTACTAGACTGAGTCTCGTGTACAGGTAATCACAAGAGTAATCCTCCGTATCCATACGATCTATAGTTGAAATAGTTAACTCTGCAATTGTATTCAAACCTGTTATATCTTTTCTGTCAAGAAGCCTATAAGCCAACTCATGCTTTTGCAGACGTGTGAGTAAATCTATTAAAACTTGGAACTCAGAATGTCTGGTCATTTTTCCGCTTTCAGCTTCTCGCAAAAGCATTTTTTCCGCCAGTGGTAAATACATCCGTTTCCCCATCACAGGATCTGCTTCAGCCTGCATAATTGTGCTCATCATGACCCAGTAAACGTAAGAAGTGGATGGAAAATTCTGTGAAAGTAGACGTGCAGTTGCCTGCTGGGCAGAAAAGTCTCCTTCCTGAACCTGGTGAAGAAACAAACATACTAAAAGATCTTCTCTGTTTGGAGTCTTTTCCAGTGAACTTCTCAAGAACTCCGATATTTGCTGTGTCTGTCCAGTCTTACGAAAGTAACACATGATCACATTGAGCGTAGATTCATCCGTGGGATATGACTTGATGATTTCATCAGCGAGTGAGTTGGCTTCTGCCACTTTTCCTGACCGGTGAAGTGTCAAGGCCTTCAAAGCCTAAAGTACAACTGGTTAGACAAAAGATGACTGTTCAAACCTTAGCTGACGTGCAGTTCGGTGTTTTCTTGAGCACTTTATTCGCCTCCTGTAACGCTTTTTTATAGTTACCACTCTCGAAAGGTTCTGAAGTACTTCTGTTTTTATACAATCTGCTGGCATAGAAAACATACCTATTATCGCTCTCAACCTGACTTCCTGAAAGTCCAAGCCAACCGACATCCTCGGGAAAATGTTTGGATCGCGCGGACCCGCTGAACACAATCAAACACTCTTTTCAAGTGACTATAGGTGCTTAAAGCAATCTTGGACACACGTCTAAGACCATCACTAGTCTCACAGGAGGATCAGGTTATCCAGAACAGAGGCGAATAATGGCTCCTATAGTTCTACGTTCGTCAGCTTCAAAAGTATACAACATCAATAGTGCGAGTAGAGGAAACTTGTGGTTTTTGAGCTCTCGCTTCTAGGTCTTGAGGCTGGGTCCTTTTTGCTTGGTTGCTTTCCTTTGATGGTGGCAGAAGTCTTTGCGTCTTCCTGCCTGTAGCTTTTGAGGTAGTGATTGTCTATTCGAAAGTATTTTATTTGCAAATTGTAGCTTGGTTTGTTTCTGAGGGGGTAATAGAGCTGCTTATAAGATCAACTAACCGTTTGAAACTGTTGTTTTCGTAGGCACCTGTAAGCAAGTATTAGGCGTTACTTAAAAAGTGATAGAAATAGGGTAAGTTGGAATGAGAAGCAGAGGAGTGTAAAGTACTTACGGAAGGATAAATGTTGCTGGTAATAATATGGAGAAGGAAGGTGTCTTATTGCAGATACTAGGGTTGGAGAATGCAGGGACGGAAGAGCACATCATCAGTCGCCACTGACAAGTGTTCGTACAGGCCACTTGCGTTCGAGTACTCATCCAGTAGTCACTTGAAGGAGTCGACTGATGTAGCTGTGGCTACCTCCTTCGGAAGAGCGCTCCTTTAGGCATGTACTCTGTGTGAGAAGAAGCCGGGCCTCAATCTCGCTTTTCCCCTATGGTGGGGCTCCCACATGACTGTGGGTTTTAGACCGATAACGTTGACCTATTTGGGTGGTCTACTTGGTGAGTGGTCTTGTAGGCTGTTATCAGGTCACCTCGCTCCCTTTGATGGTTTAATGTGTACAAGTTGAGTTGTCGGAGGCGTTGCGCATATGTTCTGCCCGTTATTCTGACAACGGACCTCGTCGCTGTTCTATGTACCTTCCCAAGAGTATCTGCGCCACCCCTTAGTACTGGGGGGGGGCTATCGTGCTGAACGCCTCCAGGTGCTGTCTTGCATAGATTTTAACTACCTCGAGTTAACGATCCAGGCTACCTTATAGGGAGCATGATGACGTTTGCCTTTTCTGTCATTCCTACACAATTGCCAGTAGTATCCAGTGTGTTAGAAAAGTTTGACCCTAGTTCCTTTCCTGTGGATAACTTGGCTATTGTACACTTGTCATGAGTGTAGCTGATAGGCATCTTCTTAGGTGTGCGAAGATACATCACCTTGTATTTCTCCAAGTTAAAGTCTAGACCGTTTGCAGCTGACCAGGACTCCAGTCGCAACAGGTCGTTTTAAAGTATCCTAGGGTCTGCTTCCTCACCTGCTGTCCTCCATATGTTGATGTCGTCGGCAAATAGCAGGATAGGCGAGATTTTAATTGGAAGGTTATTTATCAGTAGTAGGAGTAGGGGTGGCCCAAGGACAGATCCTTGAGAAACTCCTTACATTCCTCCAGGTTGGTCGAATTCTGTTCACTTTAGCACAGGCTTCCCTGTCCTCTAGACATGCCGTGACCGATGCTGAGAGTGTTACCCACTTTCTCAAGTTTAGCGAGCATGGTGCGGTGTGGGATGCTATCGAAAGCTGTGACCAAGCGCAAAGAGATAACGTGGACTGTTTGCTTGTCCCATATGGTGGTCTAGTCATCCCAAGCGGTCATTAAGTTTGTGGCACATGACCATCCAGTTCTGAGGCTGTGGTGGGTGGGGTGAATAATGTTGTTTCCGTTCAGGCTTCCCAATACCTTGGGAAGTGTGGGAGATAATGCTATTGGTCTGTGGTCACGCGAGTTTCTTCGGCCTTTTCCCTTGAAGATTGGTGAAACGGTAGCGAGTTCCTATTCTTCGGGGAGTCAACTTACTTCCAACGAGTGCCCGGCTAGGCTACATATAGGTATGCTTAGGACTTCCGCACAACTGTGTCGGGCCACCGGTCTTACGTCATCACAGCTCGGTGGTTTCCATACCCTCAGCGTTGGATGTTTCGCAAACACCAGGTCTGACGGAATGCTAACGTTCATTAGCTTTGTGTCGCATTCCTGGGACTTCATCGCACTACTATATGTTAAGAATGGATGTATTATTTGGTTGAGTTGCTCGTCAGATCGGCTGCTCAACAGTTCCGCAATCTCACTCCTGCTCAAAGGTCCACCGGCTGGTCCTGTGACCAGGTTTAAGCCCATATTCGTCGGTTCGCATCGTGACCTAAACCGATAAAAACTTCTCGGATTGTAGCTTGACTGTTTAGCCGGGTTGGTCTGGTATATATGCCTGTCATTATGCACCCTTATAAGTTGCGTAACATCTTGTATCTAAGAGAGCCTGACTCTTTGTGTGATGACCGCCGCCGATACCATGCCTCCTTTTTCCTCCATGTTTGTCTTTGGGTCGCTTGAGTTACCCAAGATCGTTTGAGAGGTGACCGTCTGGTTTATTTCGGGACTTTTTTTTAATATAGCTCCCCAGATAACATCTTTGATATGTTTTCAGCATGTCCATTCTTGTGGCCATGTAGATGCCCAAAGTTCATTGTTCATGAGATGTTAGTTCGCTTTTCGGTAACGATGGAACGCTTTTGGCTCAACTATTGGTAGCTTCTTTCTGGTTATAAGACGGAATCTCACTGAGGCATGGTTGCTTTTATCAAGAAAGGGACTGGACACAAGAATCTTCCACCAAAAGATCGTCGTCTCTCGGAACGTAGTCAAGTGATGATCGCTTTCCATCTGGTCCACATCTGGTGTTTTCCCTAACCTCCTCTGTCAATCATGTTGCCATTAACGTGTTTCGCAGTCTATGTTCGAAAGATTTATGCTCACACCTCACTGCACCTCCCCGGCTGAGTGCCGGTGTGTCAAAGTTTCCAGCGAGACTTCATGGTCACAAACTGCCAAGGTGGTTGTTGAGATTGCGCCGAGCAGTTGTGCCTGACGCTGTCATGCGAAGAGGAGGTCTACATACCACTCCCAATAGGTGCTTAGTTTGGTTTATGGTGAAGTAACGCTATAAGGAGTCTGGCAACTAAACACAACATCAGTCGCTTCCCTGACTTTTAGGTGAGCGCTAACGCACATGAAAACTCCTCCGCCATCTTTGAACTGCCTGTCCTTTTGGAACAAAGTCACTTTAGTCAAAGATATTTCCTCATACACCACGTCTAATGACCACCATGTCTACGTGATAAGACTTATATTTGGTAGATTGTTTTTATCTCCAGTAGTGTACCCCTAAGACCTCTTACATAGCTGCAGAAGCATGTCAGGTGGCTACGTTCTGGGCTTAGCGCTACATGGGGACTTGCTTGTAGGCCGGTGTGCCATCGCAGCCCGGTGGGGACTGGCAGGCCTCCGGGTTTCGTTCCCTCTTGGCATCCTGGCATTGGTATTTCGGTACTGTTCACTATGTCTACAGGTAGTTCACCAGCTAGTAATTTATAAATGTTACCGTTTGTGGCATTCCGAAGCAGAAGAGAATAATGGCTCCTATATTTCCTCATTTGCCAGCTGGCAATCCAATATCTAACATCTTTTAACGAGCCAGCGTAGTCCAGCTGAATTCTTTGCACCTCCTCCCAGGTCTTGTGGAACGGGTTCAGGTCTCTGATAGATTCCGACGCAGTAGGTCTACCCACCCGCCTGCTGCAGCCCTGGTTAGCTGAAAGGGCCGTTGGGTGCTGATTAAATTCCTAGGGATTGTGTGATTTTTCCAAGGATTGTGGTGCAAATGAGTTTCTCAAGTGCCGTGCCACCAGACGGTTGTTCGAAGCGGTTATGTGAAGACATACGAGATGTTCTGGAAACTCAGAGGGGAAATGCGAAGAAAAAAGGTGAAATAAAGCGGAGCGGAAGGGCAGGAGAATTCCAGTCACATTTGTGGGAGATAAGGAGGACAGGAAGGGCCCTAGTACGTAGAGTGGGGTCACGGAGTCAGGAGGAGAAGTAAGTAGAAATAAAGGATGGGTTACAAGGGTAGGTATGGTAGTGCTATTAGTATGGAATGGTAACTAGACTAGACGTCTAACGGGAAGTATAGGGTTGGGTCAGATTCACAATGATAACGTCGCTGAAAAAGATTTAGTATAGGACTGACCATGCCTGGTTGTAGGGAATTAGTGCTTTGTATTAACATAGTCCACATACCGGCTGGGTAAGCACGAGCCATGCGTCGTTGCGTAGTTGCCCGACTTCTTAGTGAAGCTGTCAATGGACGTAACAATGGCTGTTTCGGCAGGCAATGGGTCCCAGTCGCAGAAAACCCACAGAAAGAAAACATGTGAACACACGAGGTTTTTCCCCTTAATGTGTGATTCTCCTTGTGTTATCACGAGGATTACTACTGGGGCCGTTCGGTAGGCTTCCACTGCTAGGATGACTGCAATAAATCACAGCATCTAATGTATAGCATAACACTGTACATAATAGTCAACTCTCATTACCAAAGTGATCAAACCTATAAACTGGTTTGTATTCATGTAACCTTTGTTGTATGAAATATATTATTATTATTAATTGCTTAGTATCTTGTGAGGGTCAGTCAAGTTACCACGTAACCTGTAGTAGCTAGGAATGGGGCGTTTCCGCTCTCGTAGCAGTATGTGTTTTCCTAAGGGGTGTTGAAACAGATCATGAAGCGGGTTGCACAAGCTACCCACACCTGGTTTCATAACAAACAACTGGACGTCATCGCATCTCGATGATTTTGCTGCCCAAAGCTTTGACTGTTTTCCGAGGATCACGGCAGGAGTTACCCTTATTCCGTACAACTCTTCTTCACTAAACAGCTCTAAAAGTGACTCGGGCAGTTGATAGTTTTGGCCGGATGACTGAATGTTTGGTTGTGTTGGTGTCAGATAGACTTTCAGATTTCAGATCCGGATTCAAATTTATTGCTTGGGGGGGGGAAGAGGGCTGTGAGACTATGAGTCCTTTTTCAGTATGCCTCTGTACTTGTCCAGTCCTCTTTTGGACTTGCCAGCTGATGATGCG